TATATATATATATATTCATATTGATGAATGTAATATACAAAATTTTTTTCAAAACTTGAATTCAATTAATTGTAGCATTTAAGTGCCTATACAGTTTTTGCATGCATAAAATCAGGAAATAAACTTTATAATTAATTAACATTTCTATTACATTATTTGTATTGATATATTTGAAGTATAATAATGATACATGCAATTACTAAATTCAGTTTTTTTTAATACTTTTATTAGTACAGAAACGGTAAGGGCATGCATGATACAATACTTAATTTTAGACGTCAATTTTGTACAAGCACAGAAAAAGAAAAGCTCAGCAACCCTTACAATACCTTAGCTCATTGCTTGTTCCATCTCTTATCCTCAGCTATCTTTGGTCACTAATTTTAGCAAATTAACTTCTACACTACTATCATAACTCTTTTAAGTTTGATATAATTGTTTCCGAGGACAAAGCATAATAATTCTTATTGTCCATGTATTTCAAATGCAAGGATTATCTTTCTGATGATGCAATTAAAGCCATGTGAAACACATGTCGGTCATCATTTGGATTTATTTGCTTTTGCTGTCAATTCATTAAATATTTTATCTGATGGATATTTTTCATTTGTAGGGAAAATCAGTACTATGATTTACCAGATCTGACCTTGATTTCGCAGTCATTATTTTTAATAACGTAAACTTTGCTTTCTCACTACAAACTACTAAATGCTCAAACACTTGAAATACATGATTCAAAATTTGATCTAAATCTGATCTAATATTTGTATTGAACATATTTGTTTTGATTTATAAAATATACTAATAAGAATTGTTTTCTAGACGATTAATAAAAAGTGCTTCATTTTGGAATAATCAATGCTTAGAAGTTATATGAATCAAATCAGTACTCATTCAGATGGTTAGTATGATAAATTTAGTTTCTTTCTGCAATGCGACACAAAATGCTTCCATTAATTTTTTCTGTTGCTAAAAGATGCAAATAACAAGTATGAAACAATTTTTCATAATACTTTGCAAAGGATATTAGAATCCTTTTCATTTTAAAAATCTGAAGCAATTGAAATGAAGGCCAAAATTAATACTTGACACTGGTATCAACTAAAATATGCATAATATGGGTTGAATTGTTTGTCTACCAACTTCCTTCATGCATTAACATGAAATGAAATAATTGTTTGACTTATATTTACAGTATCAAGTGAGTACTTGCCAATTGGATATGATGAAGCTTCAACCTCTCGACCTTCAGCTTGTATTCCTTTCTCAGTATTTGTTAAAAAGGAAAATAGTTTGGACTTCGGACATCAACACCACTCAAATTAATACACTTACGTGACAAATCATACTATCTTTGTCAATAAATCAGAAACTACCATTAACTCCTCTTCATATTAACACTTTCGAAACTCTTCTTACTAAGCCTTTTAAAAACTCTGATACTTGTATCAAACTTCATCCGAAACAAACCCACACAAGCAAAAAAGAAGAACATAAGAAACCAAAAACGAAATAACTACTTCAGTCACTTTGTACTACTGGAAACAAAAAATTCGGAACCATCCTGAAGTCCCAAGTCTCATCCTAGCAAATCTTCTTGTACACTTTGACAAGCAATAGATCCAGTCCTCTTCAAATCCATGACTTCAAGTACTCTAGCATACAAAACTGAAACTTACTTGCCAGTAAGCCACTTAAATGACCGATCAATAGCCCTCACTGTTCAATATGGTGCACTCAATGTGCCAACTACTTACATTAATTTCCATATGGGGTACTTGAACGTATTACATTGGATGCTCAACTTTTCATTAGCATGCATAATCCTAATAAATAAATCAACCTTTACAGCATGGTACTTTGTTTCGTCTCATACAGATAATCAATTTTATTCTAAATATAATAAATATCAGCATTTATTCCAATTTGAAAATAAATCGCTAGGCATATTACAAAGTTCAGTAAACCGAATAAGATGATTACATTTTTTTAACTCTCGCATTGACACAATTTTTCATATAAGGAATGCGTAAAAGAGTGAGATTGAGTTTTCAAACGTTATTTCCCAAATCTACCGAACTACCAACAAAACAAAATTCAGTATATATTAATGGTAATCAATAAAAAGAAAGATAACACTAAAAGGTAGTTCACATTTGAATTCAGTGAGTAAAACTGCAACACAGCTTGAAATTAACAATACAAAGCTTTTACATAATCTGAAAGACTTCATGCGAGGACCGCAATTCCAATAATGGAAAATTGAAAACATGAACCATCTTTAACGCTGCCGACTCAGAGATGCACATTTAACGACAGATGTGAAGAGCACATCTAAAAACAACATAGTAGACAAAAAACAAAAAACGATGATTTGAAAAACTGTAAAAACAAAATCAAAACAGAATGCGTACTTCGAAGTAAAATCTTAACACTGATTAAAGCTAAACCTATGGGATTAAGTCGGTATTCACACCAATTAAGCGGAATCCTTCCAGACCCTGCAATAAGCAATATTATGACTACAGCTATTTCAGTATTGCAATAGTGACAGAGATTTATTCTGCCAAAAATTTTTGATAAGCGAAAATGAACTTGACAATCAATTCGAAAACAAGTAGGAAAAAGCTACCAAAAATACTGTTTACAATCGGTATTTGAAGTACACTAATTTATAAGTCTATACTCTTTAATTATAACCTCGCCAGCATAAGAGTAAAGTGGATGAATGAAAATAGGACGCCTGGCTTTCAAAGGTATATTAGCTTCCAAAAGCCAACGCCTGCATTCGGAATAATAATCACTGCGACATGTAGCCAAACAATCCGTCCCTACATCATCAGAATTTTTCAAAGGACTAAATTCTTCTGATCGTTTCACTTCCCATACATGAAAATTTCTGTAATCAACGAATTTCAATCAATCTAGTAAAAAAAGTATCAAAACAATGAAAAAGAAACTTGATAAAAGAGAAATTTGAAAGCTGGAGCAGAAAAATCTTCATGTCTAAAATACCAAGTATACAGAAATAAAATGTCAAATAACTGGAGTGACTAATACCAAGGTGATATGAAAGGATGGAAAAAACAACACTCTAATGGACAGAGGTTTAGAATTCATTAAGAAAATCATATCACGTAACGCACCAAAAAATTGTTCTTTAGACTGACAGTGCCAAAGTAAAAATATGATTTGCTTTAGTAACGAACAGTTATAGCAGTTTCAGCAAAAAATTAAATTTTACTTGGCATATTTAAACGAGTCGAAAACGAAAAGCTCCAACTTGTAACCATTCTCTGATGCCGGCATTATTGAGATTCCAGTCGCCCGATCGATAAATGAAATTTTTTTCAAACTACGATGAAAAGGTAATTCAAAATTCGCAGCTGCAACATTAATCTATACGCACACTAAATATAAATAATTATGCGAATTAAAAGATACTAAACTGAAAAGTATGAGTTACAATTTTATATTACAGCAAAAAGACAATAGATAAATCAAATAGTTACTAATCAAACGTTTCTACTGCTAGAATCAGAATATTCAACAATTAAGCTACTATTTGTTCTTTTTCTACTAGAACAGTACATACCATTTAGTGTAGCAGTGATATCAATACAATATTACTGCCTCCTAAATTTAACTCGCCACTTTTGTCTCTCAAATGCTACGAAATTTACTTTCAATATAAAATTCCACAAACCTGTATGAAGGAATTCGCGAGTAAAAAAATGGTTGGCAATATTTCCTGCACGAAATTTCAGGCGTCCAAACTCATCACGTGCGTCGCGCAACTCAGGTGGCAACTCCGAGTACTCAATAACTTGAGGTCCATTCAATGTTTTACATATAACTCCCACTCGTTCAAAAGGATCAGTTTTCTCTATTACCTAAAACCACTCAAATATATGTGATTATGCTTCAATTTGGATTATAATTGGTCCATTATTTTTCGTAACGGTACCAGTTACAATGTCAAATGCAAAGTAATTTATGAAAATTTTTAAAAAAAAGGCATGGAACTAAAAATTCTTGCTTTTGCAGCACAATCAACATCTTTATTGATACAATATCCAATAAACTGTGGATCTGCAACTCGACACAAGATGTTGTCGACACTATAAACATGAAAATATCTGATATCATGATTAACGAAGAAAGATCGATAAGGTTTTAGACATTCATACACAGCACCATTGCCATCTGAAAAAAACTAACTAAAAATGGAACAAATCGCAAAAAGTTGAAAACAAAGCAATATTTACTTGGAGAAACTGCGAAGCTACTTTTAGACGACAGAAATAAGCCACCATTTACGTCGTAGCATGGATAAGACGGTTGTGTTACTACTATAAGATGTTTTTCTTTGAGACCAAGAACGGGAAACATTTCACGAAGATGTTGTAGAGTCGGCTCTTCTGAACTTGAATTCGTCATTACAATCCTAAATTTTTCATTGAATTATTAAATAAATCACGAATTTACAGCAAGTATAACAGATTTTGTAGGGAGCAATTAGAAACTAAAACATACCATGCACGGAAGTCTGACTGCTATCAGGAAAAATTACAGCAGTAAACAAAATAATTACACTAAAAACTAGTAATTTAGTGAAAATATTACAACAAAATGCCTGCTGTAAGAAAACCAACGATTCCGCTCTCTGAGAAAATCTTACCACCAAATATGCGGATCTGTATCAGGAAATGCGGCTCGAGCAAGATCTTCTAGACGTGATATACGAGCAGCTTGAAGGGCAAAGAGAGAATCAGATACAAAGCGTAAATTAAATCCCAAAGAAATTGTACCCTTGGGTTCTGCGACTCCAAGTCGTGTGGCTTGACCGCCTGCTAAAACGACAGCAGCAACTTGTCCTTTTGCTATCGCTTCTAGACCTTAAAGAGTAAATTTACATTATCATACAGCAAATGCTCTAATAAATACAATCAAAATCAGAATGAATGGATGTAGCAAAAGAACGAGTGCCCTATACATTCGATTATCAGTACATAGCAATATAATTACCTTTCAGCCAATACCGATCTTTCATCTCTTGAGGGATATTTGCTGCAACAATATAGCAGTCTTGATCAAGTGGCTCAATCCCAACTACTTTCTAGAATAATTTACTGGACAGTATTGAGCATCAAAAAAAAAAAAAACTACTAAAACACCACAAAAAAGCTATCTAAATCTTAATTAATTAAAAAAGTTAACAAATTAAATATCAATAACATACCGGTATAAATGCAGACTCCTTAAATGCTTGATCTAACAGCAACATATTAAATGATGTGAACTGTTTTACTAATTGCTGTCGTTCTTCTTTAGTTAAGTCGTTCCAAAAATGTAGCAAATATTCATGACGGCCAAATAATGATATCGCTTTTAATCGGTCTTCACGCATGACTTTATTTTCTAGCAAGAACAGTGAACTCTAAATTACAAAAAAGCAATGCATTCTATATTGCAACAAAAAACTCCTGAAAACTAATCATTCAAAATCGATAACATTTGCATTTTTATTATGATAAAGAAAGTAAATTATCAAGTAAATATTCATACACAGGTAGTTTACTACTAATTAAATTATAAATTTAGTTTCAACAATGAGTATTGAACAAAAAATATTAACGAAGTTCCAGATTCATGATTTCAAAAGCTTCACCATCCGCATACCAATGGGTCACAAATTAATATATCACCATTATTTGGTGTCACATATTCTTTAACTATCAAATGTGATAAGCACATACAAAAGCGTAACTCAATCTTTAGGAATGAAAAGATACATAGCAAATAAGACTAAATAATATAAACTTTGGAACAGAAGCTATATGGAAAAGGATTTACTATAAATGATTTGTTTTTTTTTTGTATTTTTGTTGTTCGTTTCAGAATTTACACTACAAGTAAGCAAAATATTGATAGTACATAATTTAGTGAATAAAAAATTACGCACGGAGTTCGTTGTACGTGGGAAAGAAGACCAATTCTTGAGGATAAATTTTCGCGCATTATATTGAGCTCCCGCTTGAGATAAAAAGAATGCATTACAGGGAATGATAAAAATCCTTTTTGCAATAACAACAAATAAAATAATCCATTTTAATTTGCTAACATTTTGAGAAAAGCAAAAGTGAAAAAAATAAACAAAATAAACAAAAAGTAATAATTAGGCATTATATCAATGCAGAGAAAAAAAATGCATCAATAACGCTTAAAAGTAAATAAATTAGAAGTCATCTGTTATAATAGTAAACAAAATTAGACAAAATGCAACGCACTACGGAAGTTTACGTGCAAAGCGTCAGTAAATATTTTACACTATTTAGTATTTAACGTACACATACATCTTTTTAAATAAAATTACACGGAAATTTTTAGTTTTATACAGTGTAATGCACAATGAAAAATGATATTTTATGCAAAGTTACTGCAGTGAATAAAAAGAGTAAAATATAGATAAATAAGACAGTTTTTCTTGACGTATACATACATCTTTTTATAATAAAAGTAATTCAAACATGATGTGAAAACACGCGTATAACCCTGTAAATCATGTAGGAAGTGAAATTCAAGCGTGTAATCAGTACATAACTCAGAAAATTCAAACGTGACACAAATATGAATATGAAACTGATTTGTGAGCTAAACTAACTACAAAAAAAATAATACTAGATATGGACAGCAATCAAGCTGCATCAGTGGTTACGAACTTTAAAACATTGAACTGTAGCATAACATTACGGTATTTGTCATAAGAATGGGATAACGCGCTAGTGAAGTGTTCTTGTAGGAGGTAAATGTATTCTGTGGTAATGAGTTGTTTTAGTGAAATGAACGGTGGTGATTATGTATACAGTATTTAAAAGTGATGGAGAAGACAATTAATCAATAACTCATGGAATTATTTGGCGTATATTATGTGTCACCAAATGTCTCATAAAGCTTAAATTTTAACTTTAGTCGCTAAATGTTTATAGATTAGGTTTACATATCATTTTGGAATAAGTTCTAAGAGAGGTTTATTAGTAGCCATGAATTAAATAATATTAAGTAGACTAGTTAATTGGATCTTGGTGACATATCTGGAATTGACATTGTTTGATATAACTCACATTGGTTTGTTAAATTTGTTGGGGAAGGCTAATGTGATACGCAGTTTACCATAGGTTTCCTGAATTGGTAGCAGAATATGGTTCTATTACTCTTTCAATATTTATTTATATCTTAGTTGCTAACATATTTATCTATCATCAATCGTTCATCAGAAATATAGCTTAAATCGCAATTTACATTGTTGTAAACACTTACCACTTTTCATACTGCTTAAAAAATATTGGAATTTTTGTAATAAACGATTACTTAGAAATATATTCATGGCGCCACCCATTTGTAACGATTCCACAAAGCAGTCACTCACTATCAAGTCGTCGTATTTTCCGCAACTTCCTGTACGCAAATTTTTCTGCAGCAATCAAGGAAAACCTGGTGGTATGCTTTTAGTACTGTATAATTAGAAATAAGTTATAGTTAAATCACTTTATTGGTAATCCATTTCTGCTCCCAAGAAAGGAAACTGTGAGAAATGCTATTAGGTTCGATATTGTTACAGTGATGGTTTCTATGTAGTGTGTCATTCACTATCACTTTATATTTTGGCCTGTTATTCATTTGAAGATGTGCATGTAATGTCTTTCTCAACCGTGTTTGTCGTCCTGCTTAATGCCGTTCGTGCTATAAATTTCGCCCTAAAAATTTCTATTTTGACATGTTTTCGGATGCATTTTTTGGCGAATTATAGATTATTCAAAGGATAACGTTGCATGCGATATGAGTGTCTCGTGATCATGTTTCGGATTATTTTCAATCGCAAAACATGACTTATTCGAAGGATGCTTTATGAGATTTGGGAAATAGGATCAATGCTTAATCGCAGCATGCGTAGGTCATTGCACACTTATATGGGTCTAATAGTTACGCTTATATGTTGGCTTATCCTCTATTTTTACTCGTTCAAATCGCTGTTGGTTGGTGTGGCGCAGTTTTTGTTCAACTGGAACGCTCCAGTCGTTACTAATTTCATCGTAGACGATGTTTTGAGAGGTTCTTTCTGCTTATTTCACATTGCCAATGCTAACCTGATGAAATTTCCCCAAAGAATGAAATTTGAAATGTATTAAAGTTCAAATTATTTTGGTGTTACTATGCACTTCATTTGCCAAGCACCGCGTTAAAACTATGATTTGAAGTTGCTCAATTTGCTATTATGTTGGAATTTGCTTCGTTGTTTGTTCTAACATATTCACACGTTCTTTAGGAAAATCCGAAGATGAAGTGGAATTCGGTTCTTCCAAATATTTCGCTTTGTGTGGTTTAGGTGGGATTATCTCATGTGGTACTACACATACAGCTATAGTCCCGCTTGATCTTGTCAAATGTCGAATCCAGGTATTGTACATGTTAGATACAAGTAATGACAATAACAAGAATTAACTTTTTCAGCAACCAATTTTTTTGCAGGTAAACCCAGAAAAATATAAGGGAATCATACATGGTTTTCGCACTACGGTGAAAGAAGAAGGGTTTCGGGCTCTTGCTAAAGGATGGGCACCGACATTTGTTGGTTATTCGCTTCAGGGACTCGGAAAATTTGGCTTTTATGAGCTGTTTAAGATTCTCTATAGCGATATGTTGGGTGAGGTAGGAGTTGCTTTTTATTGTTTTTCAGGTACAGCTATATACTTTACTAGATTATTTTGGAAGGAACTGATATTTTTAATGTGTTTCTACCATTTTGTTCTTATAAATCTTGTGTGAACTATAGAATTACTACTTGAAGCATATGTGTATGATTCTTAATTTTCATCTCAGGAGCTCTCTTATCAGTGGCGTACAAGTCTGTATTTAGCTGCCTCTGCTTCTGCAGAATTTTTTGCTGACATATTATTGGCACCTATGGAAGCTACAAAAGTGCGAGTGCAGACATCTCCAGGTGCTCCACCAACGCTTCGTGGATGTGCGCCAATGATATACAGAACTGAGGGGATGCTAGGTTTTTACAAAGGTAAAGATTATGCTGTCATTGTTTTCTGATTTCATGACTTGACATAATCTGCGTACTGAAATATGCGAACTTAATGCAAGATGCTAAACTATGTTTTAAAGAGTTTTTTTCCTACTAATGCTTAATTAAACTTTAAGGTCTTCCACCATTATGGATGCGGCAGATTCCGTATACCATGATGAAATTTGCTTGTTTTGAACGTACACTAGAAGCCTTATATAAATATGTTGTACCAAAACCACGTTCTGAGTGCACAAAACAAGAACAGTTAGTGGTTACATTCGTAGCTGGATATATTGCTGGCGTATTTTGTGCTATTGTCTCACATCCAGCGGATACCATTGTTAGCAAACTTAATCAAGACTCTGGTTCTTCAGCCACCGCAGTCGCAAAAAAATTGGGATTCGTAGGTAACACAGTTGTTTTTTACCTTTACAAAAGCATTTTGAATTCTTTAGTCTTATTACCTCTGTTCAAGTATTAATGCATGGTTTAGGATTTATTATTGTCTAACATGAGGTGAGAAGTTCTCATTATAGGGCTTTGGAAAGGTCTGGTTCCTCGTATTATCATGATTGGAACGCTTACGGCATTACAGTGGTTCATCTATGATTCAGTAAAAGTTTATTTCAAATTGCCACGTCCTCCTCCACCTGAAATGCCTTTATCTCTGCGCAAAAAGTTAGAAGCAGCCGGGAAGATGTGAATGTGACGGTTTCTGAGATCATGGTAGAGCATGATAATGCATTCAGCACTTATCTTACTTTTATATAGAGTGTAATGGATCTGTTTCATAGTTGTTTCGACGTAAAATTTCTAACACTAGATTTTATATTACATTGGTTACATATTCAAATTATTCATGTGTAATAATTGTGATAAATTATTTCGAAAGACTGTTTGTCTTATGCATCAGATACTTGCAGAAACATTGCGACTGTTGTTTGCTGAAGGAAAGAAGTATGTCGTAAAGAGTTTCCATATTAAAAAAGACTTTTCAAGCAATGAGGTTGGAGCGTTTCTGTTCGTTACAGTAAACTGCTTGTGATGACTGAGAAACGAGATGCTAATAGTAGCACAAATGTTGCATATATTTGTTGCTAAATTTGGCATACTCTGTATTATAGTTCTTGAGGCTTCTCTTAAAATGATTATAGACTGCAGCGCTATCAAGTAAAATCAATTCAGTATTTGATGTCGTAGTCTGAAGCAGAAACTATTTGTTTCAACAACTCAAAGGCCTGTAATAGACTTGTGAAGGATTGGAAGCTTTTAAAAGCGTTTCGAATAGTAATAATTTACAGATTATTCATGACTGAGCAGTTCAGTCTTGATCATATGAAGTAAAGAGTGTAGTAGAAGATCGAGAGTGACTAACTAATTACATTACTAACATTTTATAACGATGGTTAGGCTTTAATTTCTTACATGTCACTTGAAAGCAACAACAAAAAAGCATGTATGAAGAAAATGATAAGAGAGATTAGATAGGTCATATTTTAAACAAAGTACTAGCAAATGCTAGCAAACAAGAATTGTGATGTGAATGGCATGTGTTAGCTATGATTCATTCGATTATTTTGTAGATAGCAAATAATGAACTTTGTAAATTCTGCGTTTTTATATACTAAAAAAAGTGCTGAATTTAGTCGAAAAGTGTTGAATTAAGCTAAATCCTATATGATTATAACAAAAGATAGTTGTAGCAAACAATAGATGAGGTAATTATAATTGCCACAAGGAGTTAGTTGATGTTGAATAAAAGCACTTGCTGTTCAAGACGTAACTAACTTTTGCTACTTCAATCCTCTTCACTTCACTTCATCTCACTTCAAAGTCACGTTCATTACCATCGATTAGTATGAAAGGATGCAGTAGATGATGCAACGGTAGTAGCAGTTCGTCTATTGCATAAACAGGAAACTTTGTTGCTTAATGCTATAGTCTACGATTACTTTCCTCCCTTTTTTCGTATTAAATTTTGTAATTTAACTTAATTAAATATGATTATTTTGCAATTCTCTTCTTATATTATGCAAATTATTTAATTACTTTTTAAGATAATTGTTAGCACTATTGATTTATAATTATTGGCTTATTAATTAGTCAGTGATTCAGTCTTTAAAAAAGAAATGAAGTTATATTTCTTGCACTATCTTATGTGATGAATATGTATTGAGACAAGGTAATTAATAAGTAGATTTGCAACTATAACTAGATGATGGAATTTTGTTCTCGTCAAATATGCAAATCAGCAAAGCCAAAAATAGTAGGAATAAAATAATATAGAACAAAAGTCTAGGTTGTTCTTTGCAAGAATAAAATAGATGAGAGATAATAAAGTATAATAGGATTGACTGATTTTATTTTCTGCAAAAATTATATATTGTTGCATGATTCAGTGATATTTTGACCATATTTGGATAGTTAACGAAGCTATGCATAGATTAATACATCCGGATATAATATGTCATTATATCCGGATGTATTAATCTGTTTTGTTATGCGACTTTGTGCAATATATCAACAACAGGATTAAACTGTTATTCAAGTGATACTTATAGTCAGCATAGGTAAAAGGTCAGCCGAGAAAGAATGGGTATTCTCGATCAATTCTCGGACATTGCTAGAAACAAACCATTCCACGTACCTTTGGTAAGGAAAGGAACATGTGCGCGTTATCAGTGTAGGTTTTTCAGTAGACATCACTGATGGCGAACTGCATGCAACGTTTCATGCAATTGTAGTCGCCATTCGCAAACGACAATCATTTGTTTGGAATAAATTCAAGTGATAAACATCAAATCATTTTTTTCCATGTGTGAAATGAACGAAAATTTATATGACATAATATAGATCAAATTTTTTAAAAAAGTCAGTAACTTTTGGGCTTTTAGATTAAGATGATAGTATTACTGTTTGAAATTTCAAAATTTCGTACAACTGATTGCATAGACGTTTAAATTACTGTACTTAAGGTTTTCTATTATCATAAAACAAAATTTATTCACTTATAATTCTAGGAACTGTAACATTTCATCCAGCGACGTAATAGTTTTGCAAAAAATCGGCTGGACGTTAATTAGGCGTGGTAACAACTTAAAAATATTGTAGTTTGTGTGATGTTGTAAATAGAGTGTAAAATGCAAAATTGTGGAAAATAAACGTAATTCGAGATTGAAAACTTTTTAGCAGCACCTGGTGAAGTTCCATATGGTTCTCTACAATTTTTCGCACTCTGTGGAATTGGTGGTGTTATCTCTTGTGGTACTACACATACGGCTATTGTCCCATTAGATTTGGTTAAATGCAGAATTCAGGTAATTACATGATAAAAGTTTCAAAGCTAACTGCTATATATTAAATTTTATACCATGTATGTACCGTAGGGTCCACACTGAAAAAATTAATTTATGGCAACAAGGACAAAATTTATAATAATTAGTTTCGTTTTAATAAATTTATAGTTCTACATATCTTGATCATTTATTTATGAAGCACTGAATGTTTCGCTCCTTAAAATGTCTCAGCTCATCTTTGATGAGCGGTTTTCATAATTTATCCGATATAGCTGTGTCGTGAGTGATACTGATAACTATCTTGGAATAAGTCAGAAAACTGGTACTATTTTTGCAGATATGAACACCAAATGATGACAATATTTTCTAAAAAGAGCTAGCTTTACTATTAAGCTCTACTAGTCGTTTTTGCAATACTTTCAGTAAAGTTGAAAAATTCTCTTGTTCGTTACAGAGATATATGGATTATTGTTGTTAGAGTGTAATCTATGTATTTCAAAACTTTTTATGTTAGGATCTTTGATATGTGGTGCTCATTCAAAACAGTAATTTTTTTCATCTTCAGGTTAATCCCACCAAGTATCGCGGTATCGTGAGCAGTTTTGGAGTCACACTTAGAGAAGAAGGTTTTCGCGCTTTGGGAAAAGGATGGGCTCCCACTTTTGTTGGTTACTCATTGCAAGGCCTAGGAAAATTTGGATTTTATGAAGTGTTCAAGCTCTACTACTCGGAATTACTTGGCGAAGTTGTTGATTTCTTCATTGTTAAATTTTTCTCGACAGTTGGATTTGATTTCTGTCTTTTGTTTTTCATGAAATAAAATTTATAATGGCAATATAAGCATTCTCTGTTCCAGGAAAGAGCATACAAATGGAGAACATCTCTTTACTTAGCTGCATCAGCTTCTGCGGAATTTTTTGCTGATGTTATGCTGGCGCCAATGGAGGCAACGAAGGTCAGAATACAAACAGCACCAGGTGCTCCACCAACTTTGCGGAGATGTGCACCGATGATTTGGCGGCAAGAGGGGATCAGTGGTTTCTACAAAGGTTTTTTATAGCTTTATCACTATATTTGAGTAAACTTAAAAATTTGAAAGCAATTGATTGTTGTAAAAATAATTTCTCTTATGCACTTTTTGAAAGATTTATATTATGCATTATCATGATTTTATGCTTTAGAAGATTGTTTTAAAGAAGAGAGAAGATTCCATTATAGGTTTGCCTCCACTCTGGATGCGGCAGATACCTTACACAATGATGAAATTCGCTTGTTTCGAACGTACTGTTGAGATGTTGTATAAGTACGTTGTGCCAAAACCAAGGTCACAGTGTTCAAAATCTGAGCAGTTAGCTGTCACTTTTTGTGCTGGTTATATTGCTGGTATTTTCTGTGCTATTGTGTCACACCCAGCTGACACTGTTGTATCAAAATTAAATCAAGACGCTAGTTCGGGAGCGTGGAATGTAGCCAAGAAATTAGGTTTTGTTGGTCAGTTTTTTTTTCCTGCAATAAATCATTAAAAAGTATATTTCTTATGACATTGGTGAGTGATCCAAACTATTGTTAATGCTTTTGAAAAAAAGATTCTCACTTTCATAGTCAGACTATTTTTCTTTATCGACGTGAGAACTTGACATTGCTTTTTGTAGGTCTGTGGAAAGGTTTACTGCCTCGAATCATCATGATCGGTACGCTAACGGCTGCGCAATGGTTTATCTATGATAGTGTCAAAGTTGTATTCAAACTTCCTCGTCCACCGCCACCTGAAATGCCAGATTCGCTGAAAGCGAAACTGAAGATAATGGAGAAAGTATAGCTTTGATCCGAGGCACATTTTTTTTATTCTTCACCATTCATATACTTGACTTTTAATGTGTTTCTGCTGTTCATAATATGATAAACTGTTGTAACCTTTCGTTTGTTTTTCGCTCTTAAGTGAAATGGAAATGTCTATTAAAAAGTTTTTTGAAAATGCCTCTGGACACAGATTTAATACCAACCGTTTAAACGTTATCCACATTATGTAACCATTAAGCTAAATACATGTGTTTTACTTCTATTTCACCATCCTTCAATGTCAAGTGAGAAAGTCATCTATATAAGCTTCTGCAGAATGGTATTTGCTATAGTTTAAAGTAACTTGCAGATATACGGAAATAGTAGCATGGTCGTGGTGAGTAATGGAAACGTTGAATACGATTGTTTCATCGTTTCGTGGGCTGCTCCATAAGAGCTCCTATCTTAACTCATTTTGCCTTCTAGTTTGGAAAGGAAGGCAACTAAAATAGTTGAATATGTATGCCATGTATCTGAATTTGCTTATTTGTGCAAAGTAAAGGTAAGTTATGATGTATAATTCAGGAATGGTTGTTAGGAATCAATTAAGTCCTATTATTTTTTTATGGGCAAGGCGCTCTTCAGTGATTGCAAGATTGGAATGCAAATGGAAAGGTCCATATCGGTAAGTATGTATTATAAAGCAAATTGATCAAGTCGTACTAAAGAGTTTCAGCATGTAATATACATATTATGTTTTCTAGATTCCGACGCCAATTTCTTGATAGCATTCTTGGTTTACTTGTTTGGAAAGAGCTGATAAAGGTTGATTTCTTTTTTGACTACATTTGGGATGGACTAGGATTAATGATTACCGAATTGGAACAGGTATTGATTCAAATCACAAATTTTTGATTTTGATGAAATATATTGTTAGAAAATCTATTTTAACAAGGTTGATATTTAGCTAATACACTGGATTACAACATATCCTGCTGGTCTTAAATTGAATGCTCATTTGAATGCTGTATTATCGCAGTTTTTCGTCTATCATATCTACTTGTGGCAAAGTAAGTTGACGCCAGCGTGCATAAAAGATATACCATTATCGAGAATATAAAATTTTTAGTCCATACACTGACAAATCAAAAATTTTGGTTATGAGCTGGTCAGTAGCGATCACATTTGATCATAAATAGGATAATAGCAATCGCATCCTAAAGATGGTATTATGTTTTTGTGATTGCTTGATTTTTTAAGCTTACTTATCGGTGGCAAGCGTTTACATCGGTTTTGGATTCATACCACTCTCATGTTTTCTGGGATTATCAGTCTTTCTTGCTGCCTTGTCAGATCTCCTTCAACTTCTTACCATACATATATATTGTTTCCATATTTACGCTTCAAAGTAAGCTCGTTATTCATATAGTGCTGTAAAATGACAAATTTTGCAAACTCTGAGAAACAAGCCAGCTCATCAATTTCTGGTAGAATTTTGCAGACTAGCTGTTCTATCAATTAAGTCAATACAATCACTTTGGGGATTATTTCGAGGTAAGAAGTACAATCCACTGCGCAACAGGGCCGATTCGGTGAAGTTGGACAGGAGACAATTATTTTTAGCTACGCTGTTTTTCACCATATTATTGTTCCTACTTCCAACTATCCTTGTTTATTTCTTTGTATTTTCATCAGTAAGTCTTTGATGGTGTTTCTCTGTATTTTAAAAAATTCAATTGATGAAGCATACAGGGATTCTTCCACAAAGTAATTAAAAATATAAACTATTTCCTTCATTTCCACTGATTTATGAAATAAACATTTCAGTTGCATTGCGGAGTTTGCGCTATTCAGACAGTGTTGTGGTTTCTGTCAACGATCCAAGACACGATTATTTTGCATATTTGGAAACCACATTATGAATAGTAGTTATATATTCTCAATATCCTGCAGATTGTGTCTCTAGTTGTGAATGAATGTGTATTTAAGTAAATAATGGCAAATATTAAGTTTTGCTGTACAGAATCTACTAGAATTGAAAAAAATTTGAGCAAACTAAAGGAGCGTTGAGATATAATAATATGGTCACTAAAAATCTTTAGACATACATTATTGCTAATACAAACTTGTTGGAAAGAGTATTTCGAGTTTATAATCGTAATTTTTCCATATCTTTTATATCATTTTCGAAAAATATGAGAAGGGTACAGAAGTATTTCATACTTGCCAAATTTCCTTGAATAATAAAGTGCAAACCTAAACATCATATGCAGAGCAAATTGTTGTCAAGGCAACTACACTTAAGTTCAAAGTTAAGCTAGGTTCGTACAGCTTTTCTCGGTAGCCTCATGAATATTGTTGTACCGCATTTCTCTACCATTACAATTGATGAAGTTGTAAGTCTATAGTGAATTAAACTCTATATGTAAAGTATCTCTTTATAACAAGCTTTCATCTTTAAGATATTCTCTTATTAATTCCTTTTTTGTCAGTAGTTCTTTTCAGGTTGCTATTATATTAGATGAAAAATTACAACAAAAAATGCCTTTAGCCATCCTAGATATTCGACCTGAGGAAGATTTTGTCAAGGAACACATTATAGGAGGTTTCAGTAGTTTTCTTGATTACTTTTGTAAAAAAGAAAACAAAGCTCAAATAAACATGCTTATTCTAGCCTTCAGTATTCTACTTTAAAAAATTGTTTGATCACTATAATACATTGTAGCAGAGCATTATCCACAAATTTTACTCAGCCGAGAAAGATATGAGACAGAATCAATGAAGAGAATCGGTGTACAGGGCAAGTTAATTGTTTGTGGTGAAATTCATGGTGCTGGTCGAGTGGTATCAACATTCTGCGACAGAGGATATAATGCATTATTATTAAGAGGAAGTAAGATATATGAAGAACCTTGTCTCACAAATAATTCAAGATAATTAAACTTTTTTTAAGAAAATATTGACTGAAAATCTGTACCTTCGTAAGAATATATTAAGATATCATTAAAGATCCTTTACACTTTTTACTTTAAGATTTGAATACTTGGAGATGTAAATATCCAGAGGGGCTATTAACGACAATGAAAGACAAATCAACTACACTGGATTTACGCAAACTTTCAACTCAACTAGTACACAATCGCAAACCAGCTTTTGAAAAGAGTACACCTGCATAATTCATCAGTTTTTTAAACAATTGCTTCTATACTCATAATGGCAAATTCTTGCAAGAATTTATATTCATGTATTTTACTGATAATTACATTTTACAGCCGGTTTTATGAAAGCAACATTAAGTTCGACAAACAAGGATGTTCGAAAAAACGCAGAAGGAAAAACTCTAACTAATCATCGACGAGCTTGGCGATAAGTGACACTACTGACCAACGATGTGTATTCTAATAAAACTCGAATTTTCATGCAGCTACGCTATTGCTTATTCAATCAATCTAATAATATACAAATTTAACAATAATTTATTTAAATTTTTGTCACATACCAGCTTCCTCATATTTGTTTTTCGGAAAAAAAGAAACCAATTTTGGTCAGGGGGCTTCCAAAAGAAACACAAAATAATTTATACAGCTGTTTTATTTGAAAAGCATTATTGAAAAATCTAAATAAATTTGAATAGCATAATTTAAAAATTTCTGAACATACCTAAGCAATATCAACATCGTTTTCTTCACAAACGGAGTAGGACAATTAGGAAGACCTTAAGAAAGAAAATTCAGATGATCTGTATAAACCCTATACTAACTCACTTTACTCCCTGATCAAAACCGGTCTCATAATTTCTTGATTTTGAATAAGAAAAAATTACAAATAATTTCTGAGACGATTACGCGTAAAATTCTTAGATAATGATGTCAAAATTCTGGAGTTCTTCATCAGATGGCAAAACAACTTTATCTGGTCGAACTAAGTCCTTGCTAATATATGGCAATCCTGCTTTTTCTCTTCGAGCGATTTCCAAATGAGCTTCTCGATATGCCCAATCTCTAGCTTGGGGCCTAAAAATAAGATGCCTATCTTTACGTTGACATGAAATTACGCTTATTTCGATGAAATATTGTCATTAAATTGTTGCACATTATAATCTCCATCACCAAACACAATAATACGTGGTTCATAAACAAATCACGCTTAACAGTATGTGGTGCAAGTTTCAACCATGTTACTCTGGAATAATTAAAATTTTCAGCACAGTAAATAGCAAAAGGATTAATTTGGTTTTGTCACTATAAATTTTTATCCGAAAACAAAAAGCTTATATTTTAAAGAAAGACTCTGATCAGCGAGCAAAACTTGTGAAATTTCAGTATTAAAGATAGCGCTTTCAGTAAGTATAAGCTTTTTGTTCACGGATCAAAATTCAAACCAAAAAATAAATTTGCTCAAACAAACCAATCGGGGGCAGCAATAAGGAAATACAACGTAACCCAGGAAACCAAAACTGTCATCAGTACAAACATATACTGATGAAACTTTAACCAGTCAGCATGTTCACTATATGGAGATACACCAAACCAAATCCAGTTACGACGCTAAAAAGTGATAAATTTTCTTGGCTTAATTCAACAAAACCTTTCAATTTCATGGCCATAAAATAGAAAAAAGGTAAAAGACACAAAAACCAACAATATGACCGCCTTGATCTTTGGCAAGAGGTCTTCTCCAACCATCACCAAACAGCCAATCCAAACGACTACCATTTAATTTTGGCCATGGATTTTCGTATGCATAAGAATCTGACCCCGGTCTGGAACGATTAGAGTGAACATCACTATCAACAAGTTAAGCAATAATGAAGTGATGCAAAAGTGAAAGAAAATTAAAGTCATCAGTGAGCAAACTTTGAAATTCATATAAAATCTGAAATTCGAAGTTGAGCAAATTAATCAAAAATGAGTATTAATGATTAATGGAGAAATGTTACTTTACCTGTAGTCTATTGGTTTTCTTTCAATATTTTTGTCGTCATGAACTTGATGATGTGAATATGCTACAGATGAGTACTTGAAGAGAATACTTGGAGATGTAAGACGGCGAAGACAAAGATAGTGCAACATTTATTTCCTTATCACTCACTACTACTTAAAAATCACGTTTACTTACTAACTACTTCTGTATATACGTAAGTGAAACAAAACCAAAATGTAAGTACAATTATGATGCATACAAATTTTTTTACAAATTTTAGCAAATAAAAGAAAAAAGTGATCTGTCAGTTAAAAATGATTACAGTTTATACTTTAATCTCACGCAAAAAATCTTACGTATAATACGCCACCAACTAGAAACTAAATAAATGTACAAAGCAACAAAAAGTCCAATTTATCTCAAAATTTCAGTTAGGCTGATCCATATTTATTGCACTTGCAAGCAAACGGGCTATTTACTCTCTTGAGATACTGATTTTTTCATGATGCTACTGTTAATTAAAGAACTTTGAAGTCGCATTATGTGAAACAGTTTACTGTTTTGAGATGAAATTTACAAAATCAGGATAGACTAAGTTTATGGTGGCGAGCGTTTCCCATCTCATAAAACGTTAATCTTAGGCTGTAAATAATTTATTCTTTCATACAGTCAGTATAAAATTTCATACAGTCAGGTTTCTAGCTCAGTATAAAAATTAGCTAGTTATACTTTCTGCTTATCATAAAATTTGTAATTCAGTCATCTGTGCGAAAATGCGTAAGAAATAATTTAAGAGTAATACAGAATATTGTTAACTGTTATTAAGTCTGTAACATCATTATACTACGGTTTGTTTTTTCTGAAAGTTAGCACTATTAATTTTAATTGGAAGTAATTCTTACTTCACCTATTGTTATATTATACAGTGTAGTCATGCATAGTTTGTACTTCTAATTTTTGGCATTTAACAAGTTTTTTTTAGTCTTCATTTTAATTATATTTTTTTTACTGATTTTTCACTACACTTCATATTTTCTGTATTTTAATTTGAAATAGCAGTGGTGTTATTGACTTGTTGATAATTTGAATGAGTTATAATTTTGAAGTAATTTGTAGGTGCTTGAGAGATAAATATAAAGGCTTACGATGGATGAGAAAGGTATCGATGATTTGACTCTAGATAGCGAACAAGAGAATTATATACCACCTCCTCAGAAATCGGTTTCAGAAATTGTTGCAGCTGATGCTGACGATGAAAGTTTGAATCGGTACACACTTAGATATTTTTTCTTTGTTTTTAGAATAATAAATTTGGTTTCAAGGCGGAACTTTGCAGTCAGCCTTTATAATAGGTTATATATTCTGATCAAATGACTTGTTGATATAATTAAAAGAACGAGAATAGTTTTTTCATGCTAAATGAAATGTCTACAAGTTATACTGAGCACTGGTTTATTACTTTTCAAGCATTCGTATTCCAGAGTAAGGTCGACATAACTGTTCTGTAGTACCTTAATCTGGTCTAAAAGTGTGTTGTAAATAAAGTTTCATGTTTGAATGGATTATTTGCAGTTATAAACAAGCACTTTTGGGTCAAGCCAAATCTGGTCAAGTAATCGTTGATGCTACAAATCCACGCAATGTTCTTGTTCGTTCTATTACATTGGTTATAGAAGGGCGTCCAGATGTCACAATGGAGCTCGATGGAGGTTGGTTACAAAATTTCTTTGCATTGATTTAATCCGATTCATTTTAACAAAAGTAATTTGTCGTTTCATGTTTTCAAAAAACAGTATCTTGCTGTGGTGGTTGTTGCCTCATTTTTAAGGAGAATGAAATATTTTACTAGAATAATTGCAAATGTAAAGTAAATTTTGAGGTTTACAAGCATATGTATTAGAGTAGGTTTCGAATTTCCTTGTTGTTTGCAAAGTCTTTATGAAATTGCAGAACATGTATCTGAACCATCATTCACGATCAAGGAGGGAGTAGCGTATAGAATTCGTTTCAATTTCCATGTACAAAGAGAGATCTGTACTGGTTTAAAATATATACAAAAGGTCACGCGTCATTCTATTACAGGTGATTCTTTCTACAAAAAAATGTTGCGATAGAGAATTACAGTACTAAAAAAATTGAAATTACATTATATTAACTTTGTACGAAGAATTTCAATTGAGCTCGAAAAAATTCTATTTTTCTGATTAATTTATATTCTTTGGAAATTGCAGAATTTTCATTAAGACCTGGAAATCAATTTTTTCACAGTTCAAAATAAATTAATTATTGAAAATGGACTCTTTGAATTAACATCGGGTTCATCAAATAAAATAGTTATGTTTTCAGTTGATAAAGATACATTTATGATGGGTTCCTATGCTCCAAAAATGGAATTGCAATCATTCACGACGCCATTAGATGAAGCTCCGTCTGGTCGGTTTTTGCATTATTTGCAATGCTAAGCAATTGGGTGTAATCTTAATCATCTTCTTGAAGTGAGTCATATGAGCTACATTCATATTGATAATAATACTTTCAGGTATGCTGCATCGTGGTACTTACAAAATTAAGTCCCAGGTATGTGATGATGATGGCCATGATTGGTTATCTTGGAGTTGGATATTAGAAATTGCTAAAGATTGGCAAGATTAATAACATTTATATTGGAGCTTCTGTTGCACTTAAAAGCTAGCTTTTTTCTGATATATTTGGCTTACTTTTATGTGTATGCATTCCGTCATATTTTCCATCAAAGCCATATAAAATTGAAGTCCTTTCTCAAATAATTATATGTTTTGAGTGACGGTTAATTTTAGTTCTGACATACGGTATACTTTGATCACTTTTTTTTACCTGTTATTTTCTAATCAAAATTAAATGAATTGCTTGCTCAGCTTGCTATATTTTGTATTATTTCAATTTTTTGAGTTCCTTCAAAATATCATTCGTATTAATCTTTCTGCATTTAATTTGGATCTGTCCAGAAATGTATATGACAAATATTGGTGAGCTAATTAATTACTGCTTAGTGCAATTTGTTCTGTTCTTTTAATTTTTCGTCGATTGAAATACCGCTGCAGAAGAATGTCATTTCTAGACAGAATTTCATGAAAGCCAAACTCTCTCTTATATTCTGCTCCATCTCTCAACATGTTTCTGATTTCTGCTAGCTGATATTCTTTCAAATTTGAAATGAATTCAGTCCCCTAAGAAAGAAAAAGTTGTTAGTGTTGTATTTTCCACATTATGGGCAATCTGATCTGCTCATAAAAAAGTAAGACAATTATGTATTTACCTGCTCACGTATTTTAAAAAATTTATTTTAAATGGTTTCCTTTACAAGTTTTGCTTTGGTTTTCAATTGTTTCCTTATAATAGCTTTCATCATCACTGTTTTCATGTTTTCACTTACAGCTTGTTGCTTACCTTGGCTCTTAAATTTACAGTTTCGTCATTTTGATATGTGTCATTTGTTACACCTTTGTTTTTAAACTAAAAAGTTCCCTTCCATTCGGTCTGTCCTCATTCAGCACATAATCAGTGTATATAGATTTCTCATTAGCACATTGATAAGAAAATATTATGCAGGCACTTTATCATATGTATTCGTGAAATACTTACGCTTTTTTCTTTCTCCTAAATAGATTTTCAATGAAACGGTTTGCAGTACTCAACGATTGCTTAGCTAATCAATAGTTACTCGAAACTAAAATGCAATGAACTATCATCATTTCTTCAGTATAAGAGTGTGGAAAACCCCGCCCAACTTGAATGGTTTCCTGAAATTCAGAAATGTGCAGGTATGAAGATGGGTAACTGCACTAGTTTCATCGATTAATTTGACCGAAAAAAGTGTTTCAACGTCAGATGGTGCCATTGTTTAACCTAAATTTCTCACTCCTGAACACTTTGAAGAAGGTACAACTCAGATGCAAATTCCCTACAGCATCGAAATCTAGTCAAACGAGTCACAACTATAAACAACTCTGCGATACAGTTAAGAACTGCATGAATGGATATTCTTTGATTTGGAAGCACACTCCGAGAACGAAATGCATCACACCTGAAGAGCGACGAGAACAATTTGCCTCTTACATGGAAGATGCAATCATTGAAGTCATTTCGTGATCCAACACAGCAACCCATACTGTTGATGAGAGATATGTCGATAAGGAATTGCGTCCAACACTTCTCAAACTAAATCTTGCACGGTCTCAATATAAAACAAAGCAGACCATGAGGATTTCGCCCTTAGATTATAATCATGAACAAACCCACCCATTCAAATTATAACTGATCCCATTGTCTTTTGCTTGCACGCACAGACAACAAAATAAAAGGCAATATGTACAATATGCCATCGTTACTTGCAATGCTTCATGAATTATTTCCCTTTCATTACATTTAACACATGGAAAAATCAATGTTCACTAAACTTTTTTCACAGCAACTGCTGAAAATGTGAATTTAGACACCAGAAATAGGCCATACTATTTTCAATTAGATAAAATAAAAAACTTAACAAGTGATATCAGGCCTTTGTTTTTTTAAATTCCGTTCACATGTTTTGATCTCCGAAAAATTCTGCTAACAAAAACAAAAAAACGCAACAAAACTTTTAAAGATACAACAACTACATCATTAGTGGTGGGAAATTGGTGGGGAATTGATAACAGTAGTAATTGTAATGTTAATGATGATACAAGAAGCCTCTTTCAAAATAAATTATGAACATGACAATGAGAAATGAGGAACTGGAGATTTTTGAGCATAATTTCTATGCCATCTGCCATTACCAGAAACAGCCCTTGGATTTTACAAAGAACCCGAGAAAAAAAAAGACACATAGATTATAAAAGGAATGAGGGAGAATCAAACCCTCATAAACTGGGCAAGATAAAGTTTCACAGCTTGAAAAAAAGAATCAAACATGACGTAATGTGAGACCTGAATAACATTCAAAATATGAATTCACATTCTTATACCAAAAATGACTCGTTTGTTTCCCATGTTCTGTAGCAGTGCTATTTTTAAAAGACAACTATTTTAAAAAGACAGCTAACGCTGTTTTTGCTCCTGATATTTCGAACCCAACTTAAACCATATTACAATTCAGTATGCGCTTCTTCTTCGTCAGTTTCAGCTTCAACTTCGGCTTTTGATTCTTCTGACAAACCTGCACCTTCTTTACCACCACTTTCCAAGAACTGTGAGAGTTTTTCTAATGTCCTATCCCCAGTGAAATCAATTTGCTACAATAAATAGAAATTAAAAAACGCATTCCTTGCAGATCTGTGATAATTCATGCAGAAAATGAAAATTTCTACCTACATTTATTTCACTTTACATTGGCTGATGAAAGGTGTCTTTCCAAATCAAAATCATGAAATATTGACGATGATGAAAATAAAATACAACTGAACCGACTTACCTTCTTTGAATCTGCGGGGAAGAATTTGATTGTCGGGAATGATTGCACTTTAACATCGTCTACTTCATTAGAGGTTGCATCCATCTTCGCAACAATTATGTTTTCATGGTCTTGATATTTCTCCCCAAGTTTATCCCAAACTGGCATTAGCTGTTTGCAATGTCCACACCAAGGTGCATCTAAAAAATATTGAAATAAAGAAATCAAATTGAGTTTAGTCAGCATTCCTCAACACAATAAAGCGGAGAAGATTGAATTTAAAAAAGTATCTATAGCATTTATATGAATATTTGATACAACTTTCTATTTTCTAATCACTTCAAACACAAAAAAAAATAAAGAGAAATTAACTTAATATCATGGCGTTAGAAATGATTAATAATGATGTAGCAGTACTGGCTTTAACTCTACATAACCAATTCGACCACAACTTTTTAACAACTTACAGAAAAGAACAATGACATTTTTCGTCTTATCCTTCACAACATCACCGAAATTCTTCCCGACAAGTACTTTGACTGGATTCTTATTCCAATCCTTCGGAATTTCTTCTGTCATTAAATGCTGCTTCAATTTACCCTCAAGATACAAATTAGTAAATTCAATAATATTTTCTGTCGTTATTTCGTCGAAATCGGGCTTGAATTTAGTCATATCTTCTTCGAGACCAATCAACCTCAATGCAGGTAGATCTTCTTTTTTCAGACCAAAGAACTCAAGAATTCGAGTATTATCCTCAACATCCGTATTGATGATGACAAAGACGATCTGTAGTAAAATCTTGTTAGTTAAATTAAAAATTCGATATATGAAAGTTAAGATAATTTCTACAAAAAAGAAGAATCAAAATGAGAACGATGAGTGAAAAACATTAAAAATACTTGATATTTTTAATAGGAAAGAACCACCTTGCCCTTGAATTTTTTAGCTGCTTCTCGAAACTCCTTCTCCAAATGTTCATATTCAGAGCTTCCTTTTGAAACGAATAAGAGATTATGTGATTTGACCTGACCACCAAAAATGATAGGTGCAGTATCTTGGTTGAATTCACTCACGAGTGGTAATCTGTGGATCTAAAATGCAATTAAAAAATGACGTGAACAAAGCAGGAAGTCATTCTATAAATTTTTTAAAACATAGATGCTGCAAGGTTGTACTTAATTTATTATGACTCTTCATCTGAAACAAGACATCTTCAACAAGTATGAGGCTTTCTTATTTTGAATGAAGAATACTTAACAAAGAAAACACTAGGAAAAAGAAGTAAGAGAATAAACGTAAGAGTAAATAAACCTCTTCAAAACATATGATTTACAGGGATATCATGCAATAAATCATATGCTTTAAATAAGGCATTCAATCTCAATAAATTGCAAAAAATTAAATGCTGATAAGTTCAACCGTCAAGTTAAACAGATACCTCAATCCAATTTTTCAACACATCAGCGGACATGGCCTCTTCAAATTGGACTCGACCTTCATCAAATTTCTTGAACATTACAACACCCTCTTCTTTGAGCTCCATGTGTTTAGCAGCATGTTCTTCTGATGTAATACCAAATTGCATACTATCGAGTTCCGAAGCAACTTTTAGAAAAACTAGAGCATCTCCACTATCAATTTTCTGAAACGCACTTCGATATTGAAAACTCTGATATCAATAAATGTCCAATAACAAGTGTAAAAATTCAGAACAAAAATGCACCTTGAAGAAGCCAATGATGCACACTTCATTATTCTCTTGGAAATCTTTTACATCATCAGCTGTAATTAATGTTGTAGCAGGAAAACCTGTTTTCTTCTTTAACCAATCAAAAATAGATTGTGATGTTCGCCCACCACCATACTCCATTGGTTGACCTGATTGGAACAACTTCAATGTGGGATATCCACGCACCTAAAGCAAGCAATTTGAGTCAGATGAATTAAAATACCACAACAAATAAGAACGTTTGAATAGCTTAACATCTAAAACACTAGTTTTTTTGCGAAAAAAACGAAGGAAATTCCGCAAAGAAGAATGATCGAGAGCATAATAACTTTCAGAATTTTATGAAGAGAGTGAAGAACATTATCACGCTCAAATTTGAAACTCACTTCATATTTAGAAGCAAGTTCACCATGTACGGTAGCATCACACTTTGCAAGTTTGACGGGGATGTTTTTCTCTTTTAGCAGTTTCGCAGCCTTAACATATTCAGGTGCCAGAGATTTACAATGGCCACACCATGGAGCATAAAATTTCACAAGAACGAATTCATTAGACGATATGACATTATCAAAATTATCCTGAAAAACTCTGTTACAGACAAAAATACCTTGATCATCAACAACATTCAAACGATACAAAATAGCTAAAAAAGAAAACAACAAATTATTTAAAAACATAAGTTCATGAATGTACCAATTACAAAAATAGTAACTTTTTTTGACAATGAATTTTGCTTTCTAAATTACTGATCTATTTCATTTTCCTTTTCTCTCTTAACCTGTTTAGCCAAATTATTGATTAATGCTACCACTATCAAGGAATAGAGATGAAACAACACTTATGAACCATTTATTTAGTGAATTATTTACGTCATCAATGACATATTTTTCCAATTCTAAAACAAATCTAGCATGTAAGTTAATTGCATTACTCTATAACAATTTAATCTTCTGCCACAACAAATAGAAAACATGAGACTAGCTGGAGTCAAAATATTCTACTAGGAAATGATAGCAGCATTTCACATTCTTACTTTTTGCATATCTTTCTTCTCAAAATAAATTTCAGTGAAAATTTTTGGAAATCGAACTTTTGCGATTAAGATGAAGAAAGCTTGTGTAGTAATGCTAGAGCCAATATTAGTAACAAGTGATGTGCTATAACGTTAGTTATTTTGTCTTCAAAATTGAGCAAGCATAGAAGTAAAGAATAAAAAGTAGTAACCTTAGTGAGAACAAGTACTCCTTCTTCTTCAGTGGGGTTTTCAGTGCTGGCTGCAATGAATAGCTGTGAGGAAAATACCAAAGAAAACAAAACCGCCAATCTGAACATGACCTGGAAGATGAAATGACTTACAACAACATCTTTCGTCTATCTACCATCAAATCATTTATTCGTTCACGCATGCATACATGTGTACATCCTGTTCATCCATAATTTCATCTACTACCTATTTTATATTTTATTTATTCAACTATCAATTCATCTATTTATCTATTCATCTATTTAACAATACATCCATCTATCTATCCACCCACTAATCAATCTACTTAATCATCATCTACCTATGCATTTACCCATCATCCACTAACTACTTTATAACTCACAACTAGCTCTACCCACCCGTAGACTCACCTAGCGGGTTCTTCTTCCTTTGCTGCCCACTCAAGATATTGTGTGTTGTTCAACTATTGGATAACGCTGCTGGCACGCCCCATAGATACCATTGGTCGACAAAGAGTTCGACGTAATTTATCATTCACCACTGCTGTCCCCTCCTCTCAACAGACTGTCAGTACTTCTTCATTTTGGGTATTCAGGGTTACGTGTGCTGCGATACACTGCAGACATTCTATCTCCGCCTGCAAGTGACAGCAATAAAATTGCCTTAAGGTATTTATTGATTTGTTGCATTAACACGGAATGCACCGTCACTACTCCTTCATTAACACTTACTTGTTTGCATCACTCTTTCTGATAAAACAAATAGTCATTAATTCTTTACTCACTTACTTACTTACTGACTTACTTATGAGAGCAATAATTATTAACTTATTTCACTTATTAATTACTGTCAAAAAAGTTTTTTATCTATGAAATTATTAATAAGATTAACTATTAATTTTGTCTTGAATATGCTTAATAATTTTGCTTGCATTTACAGAAATTTAATAAGTCATAAAGGTGAAATTGTGGAAATTTCTTTGATAAAAATTTAATATTATTAATCAATAAAATGACTAAGAATAGCAAAAGAAATGAGAGAAAAAAAATGCCTCTTTTGTTCATAAACAAGCATTGTTGTGAGGCAAAAAAAGATGCAAAGAAAGAAACTGCAACAGCAAATGTTTATTTATTGATTGAATATAATGACAAAGGTTGAAAGTTTACATAAGTGCTGCATAAAATGAGGATTTAATTTTCTTCATCGCCATAACGCATTCTTCCCACTCAAAACACTTGCTAGCTCGCTGGTATTGTAGTTTAAGCAATAATATTTACTATCTATTAATTGAGCCAACTAGCAGACACAGTCTGCAAATATTTTGCACACTTCTGAAAAGAGAACAAGAATCAAACACATATGAAAAGTAAAGAAATGAATAATCAATCAGTAAGTTATTCAATTCATACAAAAGACAATTTTATGGACTGCGTTGCGTCATTCATCTATTTTCAATCATCCATACGATTCATCATTACCGCTTACAATGCACTGTACAATATTCCAATGATTGCATTATCAATGCTATCATCATTACTCATCTTCAAGCATAAATTCGTTATTAACAGTATTTACAGTCACAGTTACAGTTACAGTTACAGTTTCAGTTTCAGTTTTTTGTTTTACCTTTTCTTGCAATGTCAATAGAAAAGTATCATTTTAGCTAAAATTGATTATTTAATATTATCAATAACAAATTGCTAAAAACTTTTGCTATAAAAGCTTATCTGCTGCTTATTTGTTCAAATGACAATAACTGTGTCATTTAAAATCAATGGTTGCTGCAAACGATAAAATTGGGTCAATTTTTCAATCACTCTACATCATCAATCACAATGCATACACTTTTGTAATTCGGTCACGATATATATTGTTCTGTAATAACCTACACAATCAATTAACATTACAGATCAAATTTTTACTGTAGTTTACGAATTCAGTTACTGATAAATGAGAACATTATTATGGGACATTATATAAAAAAAGTTTGCATCAATTGTTAGATGCAAAAAAAAAATTGACAAAAATTAATAATGCGATAGTATGGTGGTATTGCTTTACTTCTTTCTTGTATTCTTGCTATAATCATAAGTTATTTATTGAAAGAACAAATTACAACTATTTGCATAGTATTGTTGTATAACCTTGACATGCAAGAGCAAGACTTAACAATTGCCTAACGTTATGTCATGCTTGCATATCAGTACTTTGCATGTTGATCTTGAATTCAACAAATATGTCTCTTTTTTTTTTTAAATATTTAATTATTATATTTATATTTCAGTATTTCATTTCCTTAAAAAATACAAATTTGATAACAGCAAATAAATAGTAAATAAATTATCAAACAACTACGATTGCTTTTCACAAATTAACATTGCACAAAGGCAAAATAATAAAAATAATTGAGAAGAGAAAAAATACATATTGCATTACTCATTGAAACATTTTTTCTAATAAAAAGAATGGAAAAGTTATTATCAGATTATTTTTTAATACTTTCATATATACATATAGACGATAGATATGCGTATGAAGTAAAGTTTTGTATGCTGCAGTAATATGCATAATAATTCAAATATTCGTGCAGAAATGTTTCTCTCTTCACAATCTGCAAAACTTTACAACCTATTAATGAAAAATTGCAATAAAATATGTGCTGCTATCGCAGTCTCCTTCTACTCTCTACATTTTACACGTACGAAAATAAGGAAGTATAAAAATTTTTGTGCTAAATATTAAATTATGCCTTTTTTTTTTTTTAAATTAGTCTACAAAATGTATCTTAGTACAGTTGTGAATTTGACGCTTCAAAAGTAATAAAGAGAATAAAAATATAGCAAAATACTTCATTAAAGTGTTCCATCTAGAGTTAGTTCAGTTATCACCTAAGCGGCTCTCTCCTCCATCTTACACACATTCAATTCTTTACGTGTATACGTGTTTTATGCATAAGCTTTGAAATTCCCTGTAATATTTAAACTTTACAAAAAGTTTTAGTAATATATAAGATAGATAAACATGGTTTGATATTTTATCTTCTCAATACATCACATATGCATGCATTCGGTGAAATATTCAGAAAAAGATAAATCAAACAGATTAAAAATAGTTTATTTAGCTGCTCACGCTCGATACACTTTTCTTCCGTGCATGACACGTGTATGTATCATGTCATATAATCTTCCATTACAATGCACTAAATTGCTCGTTCAGTTGAAAATGAATTTTTATAGCAAAAGAGCTATTAAATTGATTACAAAGTAAAAGTAAAGAAAAGTAATTGTTAAAGGTAGAAATTAAGTAATGAGTGCTTACTCGGAAATTAACTCAAACTCTTCCATTACGTGCAAAATTTGACAAACAAGTTATATACCTGTTGAGAGAGAAATTTATTGGACTGTGTATGCTTGCTCAAACTACGTTACAGTATTACTACCGCTACTATTGCTAATTGTTGCTGTATGATAGAAACGTGAAACACGCTGAAGCGAACTTTCTTGCTTCTTTTGAACAATAATTTACGCGTGTTTCTGGCCAAAGTTTCTTCTCTGAACAAGTTATGACGTGAGACAGACATATTAGTATGCAAATAACATTTGGACTGGTATTTCAACAAAATAAGTCAGTTGTTTACATGATTATTTTGCATTGCATAATGAGACATACTGAGCACGTTGATGGTATGTATATGTGTGTTTTAGTGAGTGTGTGTGTTGCTGTGTGTTTTCTTACGTGGTGATTTAACATATATGTGTTAGTTTTGTGTTGATTGAATGTATGCAAAATATGCAAGGTTGAGTGCAAGCTTCTGGTTGGCTTGGAAAGAGCATGCCTACTTGTGAAAGTTTGGTTTATGAATCGCAACATTTACGTCGAATTTTAAAGTATGAGAAAAGATGTCTCTTCTGATGATATCATCTAATTTATTGGCGTTAGATCACTTAGCTTAGGTCCAATGTCCGCAAGTGCTGTTGCTTATTTACGCATTTACTTACCAAGATGAGAAGTGTGGTTTCAAATGACTCTTTACAGGTAGAAAGGAATGATTGCTGAGCATGATAATATCGTTCATGAATTAACTGCAAAATTGGCTGATAAGTTGGCGCCAAGTACTTCTGACGGTTAAATTTTCTTTCCGTTTAACTTCTACTTACATGTACCTACATGTTCTTCTGTTATATATTCGAGAAATACATGTATGCATATTTTTAGCACTCCTTATATTTCAGATGAATCTTTGGACATGGAAAGATGGGCTCCAGTAGGTGAGTCATCCGACGATACCTGGATGTAAGCTTTATTAGTTTCACAATTCAAGGGTTTCGGTTAATTTATTTGATAAACTGATTAATGTGTGTTCACTTATACGAACACAAACTATTCTGATGATCGGTAACACCATAGAAGAATGACTGTCATCATTAGAGATATTCCTCTAATCCCGTGGTTTTACGAGTAGAGGTATATTTATAGGCCTCAACAGTCTTACATATTTTATGTTTAGTTATGACTTTTTCATTGTAAATATTTTTCTAAATATCAATATAATGAATGTGTTTAGGGATGAACAAAATCGTTTCCGAGAACTTGAAAAAGAGCAAGAACGCTTAAACAATTCACTTCTTTCGTTGTCCACTCATTTTGCGCAAGTCCAGTTTCGCCTTAAACAAATAAGTAAAGCAGATACAGCTGAAAGAGATGTAATTATATATGATCAGTTTGTTTCTGGAATCTCATTATGCGAAAAATGAGGCCCTTCGATCTCTTAATAAAAAACATTATGTCTTTCAAATTGAATTTTTCATAGTAAGCAGTTTTATAAATCTTTAGTATTGTAGTAGCTGCCTTACGGTACGTTATTTAATGCCAATGATTTTTTATATCATAGATTCGTTCTGGCATTCTGAAAATTTTTTCATCCATTCATCAAAATTCTTCATATTAAAGTAGCTTGCAGAAACTATTGAAAGATTTGGAAGATTTTGCATTCCGTGGTTGCACTGATCTAGAATGGAGTGAAAAAGCGCATTCGCGAAGTGTAAATGAAAGTGAGAAATGCGATATAAGTAAACAAAAGGAACGACAAAAAGAATTGATCACTCGTTTAAAAGAGCAGTTGCAAGATTTGGAAAAATATGCATATGAAACCGGTGAAGGTGATCTTCCAAGCGCCGAGATTATGGCTAGACAGGTCAACTGGACTAGTTTTTTTAGTTCTAGATTAAATTAAAAATGTAAGGCCAAAAAAGCTATTATTTTTTTCTAGTTGCTTTTTGCAGAATGATTAGAATTCATTGTGTAAAATTGTCATAATTGTAAGGAACTTTAATTTTTCGGTTTTGTTGGAGTACCAGAAACTGACTCTTTCAGAAAGCAGTTATCGACAAGCTTCATGAAAAAGTTCAGTTAAATCTAGAGTTGGACAGAATGTCTCAAAGCGATTTACAAAAAACCGTTGACGAAGCATTGAAAAAGGTTCTTTTTGTAACAACTTTTGCATAATGGAGATTGAAAAATATGCAGTTAGTGAAAAAATTATAGGTTTTGGTGTGAAACCTTAGGTTAACAGTTTTTCATTGCATTATTAGATCTTTTGTGCAATTTCATACTACTAGAACATCAATATTTCAGCTTATGAATCCAATCAAAGCAAAAGAAAAGTTGGTAGAGCAATTGCAAACACAAATTATCGATCTCGAAAGATTTGTTAGCTTTTTGCAAACAGAAATCAATGAACGACCACCAAGTTCGATTGCTTCACTACCAGTCACAACTGCGAAAAAGAATTCCTTAACAAATTTCATTAAGTTCAGTCAAAAATTTGAGCGTAATCAGTTAAAGCTTACACCTCAAGGAAGTCATTATGGGTGTGTTTTCGAAATTATGTACCATTCCTCTGTAATGTTACCTTATATAAAAAAAGTTAGGTATAATACAATTTTAGGGATGAACGAGCACAATTGGAGTTAGCAGTCGATTCAGCAATTCAAGTGATGGAGAAATATTTTCTTTTATCATTAAATACAGAAACGTCTCATTTCAGTCCGTATTCTGAGTCATCTGATGAGGTACTGATCTCATTGTCCCAATGGCAGTGTGACTGCTAAGATTATCTGTCTGACGTCACAAGCAATCTAAAATGTTATAAGAAGTGATTCGGAAAAACTATCATTCTTAATTCACCAGACTTTGCTATCACAAAATTTTTCATAGAAATGAATATTAGCTGTAATCCTAATCTTTGAGGTCATGAGCTTTTCAACATTTCTTGGTTCATGCTAAATAATAAATTTTTTCAGTTATTAAGGTTTTCGAATTACAGGTTTTCGACCGCAGCGAAGAAGAAATAGTTGCAGTTATTAGAAAGCGATTATGTTCTGCTATGCGTGGTCTTTTCGAGCATGGAATGAATGATAGTATCAAAAATAATAATTTTACTCAGTTCGGTTGCTATCCTAAAAGACTACAAGTTGCTAGAAGTAGTAGTGGTTAGTTTTGATCAGCAATGGGAAGATTTTCTTATCATTGTTTTCGGAATAAAAACAGTAAATCTTATCCCCCTAATACTTTTTTATATATGAAGGGCTGAATTGAATTCAGTGAGAAGATTGGAGCATGTTTGGGATGTTGTGATGTATTATTATGACTTAAAGTTTGGTCGAGAATATTGTGACGCACCAATTCGCCGTCTTTCTCAAAGTTATCAGCTTGATGCTGTTGCAGGTCGAAGTATCACATCAAAGCAGGTCGAGATTATGGCTTTTTGTTTTAATTATGAAATTAATTTGTATATAATTTTCTGAAATATAAAGTCATAAATTCTTATAGTTTTCTGATTTTTGAGATTGAAGCTGCAGCTTAATTTTTCTCTTATTGAAGCTTTTATTATCAACGATTGAAAATATCGCTTCCACTCACAATCGTCTAAAGCGGTCTTCTGATGCAATGTGGAAAGCACTAGTGTCTGCAGCATTGAATGAAAAAAAATTATCGGCGTGGACAAGAATAATATTTCGAACACGGCAGATCGTTGAACATTGTTATGCATCTTGGTCTTACGTTGCTAGGACAGGTATTTAAATTAGCGTCTTCACATCAGTTAAGAAATAAAGCAGAAGTAAACATGATAGTGAACTTTTTCGTGGTCTAATCTGTTTGTCGTAAAAAATATGATACTTTTATATGAATTTGTACAGTCTAATATAACAAAAATGTGACCCGATGCTACCATAAATAGAGTAAAAGAAAGTATGTATCTTTATGACGTATATGTAATATTGTTCTAGCAGGCATTTGCAGTTGAAAAGCTAGAATATGAAATGTTTTAGGGATGAGCATTAATTTAATGATTGTAAACTACAGTTGTTCGTTCTACATAATATTATTGGTTTAAATTTGTGCAGGTTGTGAGGATACGTGCCAGTTACTAGAACGCCTTCAGAAATATAATTATCATTTACCAGTTGATTTGGCAGTGCGTCCTTTTCATCAGATGAAACACGCATTTTAATTGTATAGTGGTGTTTGCTTTTCTAGAATTCATTTTAATTGAGCTTTGATAGATGGAATGTGTAGGAACATATTTCATTTTTTTCTGTTTGTTTATATTATCTTTTTTGATCAGTATTTCGAGTACGGTAACTTTTGTTATTTCATTCTCATGATTCTCATAACTGGTTTGTTTTTTTACCGTCTTTCTTGCTTTGGCTTTAGCATTCACACATATGGGTTTTGTTTCTCGCTCTTTTTGGTTTAATTCATTCTTTGGTCTCAGTGATTTCAACCTCAGATTTCATCTCTGCTTATTGCAGTAAGTTTCATTTTCGTGAGAAAAAAATGAGAATTTAATAGTCATTAATCTGTTCCAAAAGAAATGTGGCATTAATTAGGTAATCAATGAAGGGAGAAGTTTTCTGAAAAAGCAACAATATCAGAAATATTATAAATCAAATTTAAGTGTGTTATTTTTTTTATCTTGTGCTATCTCTTTTAAATTCTTTGTTTCCTTGTCTCTGTGTTACGTGTAAATAAAAGCTTCACTAATGCTATAGTTCTCGCGAAGTGAATTCATCTCGACAAGCATGTCATTTTTTAACAAGTATTTACAATTACTATTGAGCAAATTTTAAACTGTAGATGCAAAATGTAATCACATTGAGTACAGGAAGGTTGAAGGCATTCCTTGATTCGGTTGTGTTTCGAAATTTGCGAATGGTTGCAACAGTGGTGGGAAAGTAGTGATGGCAAGGGGACAGGCAGTATACCATTAACTGGAATTGGTTTTTGTTTTGTCGACACACGTGAGATATTCAACTATATAGGATTTCGGAATTAAAGTCGTAATTTAGATACATGCTTATCTCTCTCGGTGTTAATCATATGGTCGCACTCAAAAGTTTGCTCGAGATCCTGTGACTCTGTGAATTGACTGTTGTTTTCATTATGGCTACTGAGTTGTATCGAATACAGAATGTTTTCGATGGACATACTGTATTTAATTCGACTGAAAAGGTTTGCAAATGAGTCTAAACGTATTTTGAGCCAAACTTACGATGTCTTGATATGTGTCATGTTATTTACTTCTATATTAGGTGACTTCTATTGATGGAACGTCTGAAATATTATTTATCGGCACTTCTCAAGGACGTGTGTTATTTCTAGATCTTTCAACTGGAAATATTTTACGATCAGTTCAACTTCCGAAAGTAATGGTTTTGTCATATTTAATTTGTCAGGAAAATTACCAGTTACAGGAAAATTATTAGCATTTGGATAAAAAAGAACGTTTTTAGAACGGTCTTGTTACACAATTATTGGCTGTCACAGCTAATGATTATCTTATCACTTTGTCAGCATCTACTATGATCAATATAAATATAGAAAGTTATGAGGTTGGTTACTCCATTTCTTAATCAGAAATTAGTTAAGAAAGTCTAAAACTGTTGATTTTGAGTGCCTTTCATTTTACTCATTTATAAGTATATGTGTTTTAGCTAATTTGTTTTTAATTCGTAACTTATAAATTAGCTTGCAGTGTTTATTCGTGTATTTAAATTGAATAAATTTGATAGGTCTTGACAAGTTGTGGTTGTACAGTTGTTGTACTGGAAATAACTTGTTTTGAAATCAGTTGTTTTTCAGCTGTCCAACTTGAACATTTCGTGGAGTATAACTTATGTGGGGATAAATAAAAATCCTGTGATAACAGATCCGTTTGTGTTGCAGCTTGCTCTTGCCACTTCCAATCGATATGTTTTAGTTTGTGAAAACAGAATGAATAATTTAGAGATTAAACAGAAGATCCGAATGGAAGATAACGTAGTGACTTTATCGTACAATAAATATTGCATATGTTACGCTTTGTCTAATGCTTACTTCGTTCATAACATTTTGGAAAATAAAACTCTCTCACTGTTTCCTTACGATTCACGAATTGTGCGTCCTATCATCATACAAGCAGATGTGGTTAGTTATTGTAGAAACTTGTATTTTTAATACAATTTCTATCACTGCCTTTATTTTACATTCTCTGTCCTTTCTGATTGCAGATCTCGTTAATTTCAGGACGAATTTCTGCTGAATGGTACGGAAGGTTTAGGCGTTTTCGCAACGTTAGATGGCGTGTCATCGCGACCGCCAGTTTTTTGGGGGAAAACTCCAATCATATCATTTACTTATCGATCTCCATATATCCTTGTGCTTACAGCATCTTCAATTACCATTTATAGGTTCATTTTGATTTTATTTGCAAATTCGACAAATATTCGAGCTTAACATTATTGTTGTTTCCTCCAATGCTATTTTTTTTCCAGTTGTGAGCAATCAACTGCTCTTCAGAGATTACCCTTCTCAGGTGGAGCATTATTAGACTGCATTAATGGGCAGCTTTATGTTTGCAGTAATAAAAGTATCACTTATTTAGAAGAAATATCTTGGCTTGACAGAGTTTGTTTCATTAAATCAGCTGACAGTTTTTTTTTTTTTTGATTATTGCTACTAATATTTAATAATATATCACGAAACGTTTTAAAATGTATTCTTATTGAGGTAGAAGCTATCGCTAATAGTGGAGAGCTTGATGATGCATTAAAACTAGCGGAAAATAGTATTTTAAGTTTACAACATAATGAAGCGGCGATAGTGGTAAATTAAAACTTCTATGTCATTAATTCTTTTTTTGGTTGAACTTTTCAGTAATACCAATACTTTTCTATAAATTTCAATTTCATTCAAAATTTTCAGAAATATAATAACTTGAGGCAGAAATTGGCTTTAGCATTTTTCAAGCGAGGTGACTTCGAAAAATTTCATGAACTTGCCATTACGTCAGAATTAGATCCACGTGAGGTAACAAGATCCAAAATTCGATGCGAAAAATTATTGTCTCTTGAAAGAATCTTTTTATTAGAATGCTTCTGATTTTCTAGGTTTTAAATTTGTTCGAGTTTTTGCTTCCATTTCCATCAGGATTTCAATCGATGCTAATCTCAGAAAATCCTTTTGAATATTGCTATACAACGGAATCTGTTGATAATCTTACTTATTTGGAACTATATCTCAGAGAAGTTCGACAACTTCATTGGACTATCGAATTTCGTAGGGTAAGTCTTTGCATCTCTGAAATTGCCATCAGATCGTATTCGAATTAGTTCCTAATAATCATTTTTATTTAATGTTTGGCACTTAATGTTTTTTATTGTTGACCGTAAGTCTATATTTCTTCGCAGTGCTATTCGAAGCTTGAATTTTTGAATAATGAAAATATTCTACGAAATGTTTGCTTATCTACTTTTCATTTGTCCATTCTCATGATCATAGTTTTTGTTATCAATTTTTTAAAGAGATATTTCATAAGCTTTCTTGAATTTTTCAGGGATTGTTGTAAAGTGAAAACAAAACCCACTTCTTTTTGTGCCTTTCATATTGCAAACATAATTATGTTATAAATCTTGATGCTTCTCATGAAGTTTGACGTAAACATTTAGGATATTGATGCACTTTTACTAAGGCTCATGGCTTTACGAAAAGATGCATTGGATGCAGATGACATGACTTTAAATTTATTTTGTGGATTTAACGACTGTAATGTGTGGATGCGAGATCACAAGCGACGAAAGTTTCTTCTACATATTGCTTTCTGTGTGGGAGATTATGACAACGCTCTTGCGATAAGTCGAGAATTGTATGATGATAATCTCTGGGATGATGACATTTTCAGAATATGCTTACAATCTTTTTCAAGGTGCATAATACGCTAGCTATCAATGTGATACTGAGTTCATAAATAATAGTCTCTCTTAGAAACAATTTCATATTTATGTATGGATCATACCAATAGTAAAGTTTTTGAAGACAAAAGAAGTTGCAGGTTCTATAAGGAACAAACAATTATAGCTTGGATCGAGTTCTTAATCGAGATCCAACATGGCAGTGTAATTGAATGTTTAAAAAATTGTTCGGTAGAATTAAATCACTCAAAGGTTATTCGAATCCTGCAGAAAAATAGGGGTTTGCTGATGAGTTATCTTGAAGAGATGAAGGAGCTTGAGGTACATTGTTTAATTGTTTCAAATTCGCACTCGTTTGTTTAACATTGTGATTTTCATTCGTCAAATGTGCTCGTCACTCTCAATTCCTCGCTATCAAAAGTGTCGGCTATTATAGGGTATTTTATGGTTTCAGATCCACTTTTCTAATTGAATTTTTTGGTTGTATGTGCTTAGTCTATTACAACAATTACTAATTTATCAAGAAATCAATTTTTTACCGAAGAGAATAAGATATATTGTGATTGAAGTCTACCTTTAGTATGTTCGCTGCAGCTGAAATTTGATAAAATCTCTTTTTCAGAACGCTGAATTTCATTCATTGTTATTTTCGATGTATGTGGAGGAAATCAACATGTTAATGGCCGAAGGTGATAGTGCTGAAAATAAGCTAAAATTATTTCGAAAGAAATTACGTAATCTTCTTCTCCAGCCTAATAAATTGGATTTGATGCAAACACGTGCAGTCCTAAAAAGTTACCGGTTCTTTAGTGTTGAGCTGTCATTGCTTGATAGCGTTGAGGTAAAATTGATTCTTGGCGTCTCGTGGGCTATAAAATTTAATTAGATTCCACTTTGTAAGCATTATTTCCTAGTGTTGAACGACTTTTAACATTAGAATTTGCAAAAGAGGGTTCTAAATTATTTTTCTCATGGATATGACGCCAGCAAAAAGTATTACTTTCTTATGTTGAAGTGATGCATTCAGCTTTCAGTTATCAAATCACATAACGTGTGCTTTACTGATATTGATCGAGTTGTTAAGTTGTATTCATTTGAACATTTATGTGCTTCATAAACGCTTTTCAGGAAAAAGGTTGTGTCAGATGTGTAGAAAAATTATTGAACGAACATAAAGACTATGATGCGGCGGAGCTATGCTGCATTTATACGGATACACCAGATCATGCTTTGAAATTGGTGCTCTTGAAATTCTACTTGAAGAATATCACGTAATTAGTTATTTTCGTATATGCCTTTATTTTATTGTACTCATATGTGTATCTACTTTTCAGATGGCAGATTCATGATTAACATGCTATTTCCTTCATAAAAGTTCTTTGTAGGTATCAGCAGAAATTCAGAGACCGTGTTATCAGTTTATTGAGCATGTCTTGTTTCACCTCAGATGAAATTGAAGTGCTTGGTAGCTTTCCAACCGATTGGTCGCTGTCCTCCATTTTTTCTTTTGTTAAAGGAAGTGTTATATGTGCAGAAGAACGTTTCCATTGTCAGCAGCTTAAAAAAGCGGTAACTGTTAGAAGTAGATGGTCATAAACTCCCGACGGAATGAAATTTAAGTACGAATTATTTTCCAACCATAATCTTTAATATGGTAATTCATTCAGGCTGTTACTAAAGCGTTGGAAGCGTTCTCGAGGAAGGTGTCGAAAACAGCATTCTTACAGGTCCAGATTAATGACAAGACAATATGTGCATCATGTGGCATATTTGTTGGCAATGAAGACGCCGCATGCTATCCGAATTCTAGTCAAGTTTTCCATCGCAGATGTCTAAGCATCTGAAAAAAACCAGGTCCAACGTGACGTACATCAAATGTTAGGTGGATTTTCCCTACTCTGGCATTTCAGCAAAAATGCTAGGATCTTCTTACCCTGTAATTTCGGGCTATAGTATAATATAGTTCATATGTTAATAAATCAGCGTAAGCAAGCTTAGTCATGAACTACACACTTGCTTGTATGTATACTTGATGCTTTTTTGAGCAAACATCTTTTGGGTCAGGAAAATAGTTTAGATGCACAGTATGTCGATTCTTGTTCTGTTATACCAAGCTAGATTTTAAATTCACTTTATTCAACTTTTTGAAAATAAAATTAACTTCAGATTACGTCATTACATTGCAGATTTATCATACAGTACTTTGTTAAACTGCAATACAATGCACTGGTACAAATAAATATATAAATGAGATGTAAAATCAATATTTACAAGGAGCTCATAAAAAGCAACTATTCAAGACAATGGAGCAGGTTTAGCGTTCTCCGAATTCATTTCGTCCACCACAGATCCACAATTTGCTTCAGAACCTGAGCAAAAAAATCACTTACTATATATAGATATCAGTCAATACTGCATCATAAAATTTTCAGTTATCTATGAAATGTTTTGGAACATACTACTTGGCTGCATGCAAGAGTGAGTATTTTCACTTTTTTTGCCTTCTTGTGCTTCTAGCCACTCTGCCATTTCCGCTGCTTCTTTATCAGTCACTGGAGTATTTTTATCACCGGCTGACAGCTCACTGGCGTCAACTTCTCCTAGATCCTTCTTTCTAAAAATGTTTAGATGTAACAGAAAACTAAAAAATTATTGGAAAACGGGTAATCAACGACTAGATTCTACAGAGTTATGCTGAAGCGAACTAACTGTATCCAAACACAGCTTTCAGTAGATAGTAGTATAATCATTAAGATCCACAGTGAAGGTGAAAACAACTGAAACTTTCTGGAAAAAGTACTTATAAAAACTAAAAATTCACTTCATAATGTTAGATGCTTCAGAAACTTTCATTTGACTAAGCTGTTGGCTTAGCATTTGCTTATCAAATCCAACCATGTCTATCTTCGCAGTTGCATTTTCTTTAGTACCAGAAGCACGATTACTCATGTAACGATCATACTTTTCAAAGAGGCTGTTACAGTCATCATTGATAATCAGCAATTCGTCTGAAATAACTATAGGTCTTCTTTAAATCAAAAATCAAAACCCAAGTCAAATGTCTTCTACTTTTTCATTAATCCGAAAAGGTTGCAACTGTTTTAAGAGCTCACACATGACTTCATCATTTTGAACGCAACCAATAAGATCTTGGGTTCGAAAGTGCATTTGTTTCACAACTGGATATAACTCAACCAAAAGCTGAAAACTATCAGCATCTTCTTTTCCCGGCACCATCTCATTTAAAATTTCACGCATTACCTAAAATGTAATCTAGGATGTGTGAAACATGCTCAAAAAATTCTGCTTTAAAAATTGAAAAAAATACATCTTAAACTGAGGAGAGCTCATGAAAACTTCAAGTGGGACTTTAAACGAAAACCTATTGGACACTACAACTTTTTTCACCAAAAAGTTCAAGCTGTTTCGAACACTGTATCATTCGTTCTTTTGCAATATTATACCTTAACATTATCATTCACAACATTAAGTTCCTTGCGTAGTTTTTCAAACTGGTCTTCTGTCGGATTTATGAGCTCTGGATAATCGCAGAGAGGATATGAGCTTGGATTCTATAAAAACGAATTCAAATAGTTTGCACAGTTTAATTTCATTACAAACAGGTAAACTAGACATCAGTTATTATGATGAAACGTAGTACTGTCAATGAATACGCTAAGAGTGTTAATAGGGTGTGACTATGACCGGTAAAGAGCAGATGAAAGGAAATCCTACATCCTACTTACTGATTACAGCCAAAAATCTGAAAGAAATTCGATGGCCTAAAAAGAATGGGTACTTACAAATATTTGACGTACTGAACATTTCATGTATGATAATCATGTCAAGTACTTTAAATTTTTCAAAAACTATGATCTAGACAAGAAATTTTGTCATAAATAATCCAAATTTCTTTGGTTACAAAATATAGAGATGTTTTTGAGTAAATACAATAGTGAATTGGTCAAGAGCAAACATCTTTTCCCTCATTACATGTGAAAATCTAACTGAAAAAGGAGCCATGTCAAATCTCTACATAAGGAATAGCAGCTGATAGGATGTTAGCAACAAACTTGCACAGCAAAAAGTGGATAGTAATATCAATAACTACATCTAATGAATGGAACTTACTTTAACGACTTTCAATGTTATGCTTTGACTAATTAGAATAAGCAAAAAAATTTAGTCTTCCAGGCATAAACAGGCAGAAAATTAACTTGTGTTTCACCCTCATGCTGACGTTAAAAATATGGTAATCGATGGGTCAGCAACTCCACTAACGTAACAAATTCTTGTGCTGAGATGGCATTTAACCAAATATAATGAAAATAAATATTTTACAACTGAAAAATAAATCGTAAGGAGCTAAAGAAAAGATCTACTCTCACAAAAAAATGCTATAGAAATCGTCAATGAAGATTTTTAAAATACTTCAACTGTAAATAGTAGTATTGTAAACAACAACACCAGTCTTTAGGGAGATTAAGAAAATAATTGTTTTTGCATACCAACATGCTGTGTCCAATGAAATCTCCATGAACGATATCGGTCGATGGTATTTGTTCAACCGGAAACACAGTCTAAAATAAGGCCATGCCTAACAAATCATGCAAACTACAAAGATACACAGAACGATCTCATCACTCCACTTCGGCATCACAACAAACCTGCTCCTGTAGTACAATACCGTTTGTGGAAGACTTAACAAATTTCACATATGAACAAATTCAGTACCAGTTATCGGAATTTGTCTCTTCGGCTGGTTCTTCCCTTCCATCACCATACACTACAGGCAAACACACAATAAATAAGATAAACGATAAGACCCTTACCGCGGAAAGGATTCATCGAAGCAAAAGAAAATTACAATTTTGATCATTAACATACCAATCGAAACGGAATTCTATCCAACTTACTCTTTTTGGTGTCAATACTGGAGCCATATTAACAGGATCTTGAATCGGAAACTGAACACCTTTCGCCTTCAACTCATCGTATACTTGACAAACACCTTGCAAACGTGGATCATCCCGAAACGCGTCATTCCACGACTAAAATGAACTTGGATCTTAATTCTCGGATTAGATTGTGGAGATAAAGCAGGCATATATTTCCTACCATGCTTGAAAGTAAAGGCGAAAAAATAACACATTATTTTAAAAAAATATAATGTAACAAAGAAGTAACATTAAAATCTAGCTGAAATTGAAAAACTGCGCCAAAAGAAACCTGAATCAAATTGAGTACACGTTCTTGTACAACTTGTGGCGCATCAAATTTGGGACCAATTAGTTTGACAAGATCATTTATGAAGTCTTTATGACAGACAAGTTCATGAAAACGAACGTCACAATTTTTCACACACGTTTCTAATACTGTAAGTGTGTACATGACAATGCCGTTATTTTTCGAGACATGCGAATGGAGACGCCTACGAATTGCACGCAAAGCATCACGAGCTCTGTAAGATACGCTTACATAACAACATTTTGAATGCAAGAGAAAAAATCTGCTTTACCCATAAATGTACAGAATTTATAGAAATCAAAATTGAAATACTTAAAGCAGTGGAATATAGGAAAAAAATGTTAAAACAAAACAAAGACGAAGATAAGAAACAAACCCATCCGCTGTGCCGTTGATGTAATCACAAATTTCCATGTTTAATTCCCAGTTTTCCGTACCAAAAACAGATGGATTGGTCGCCATTTCTATGAAAAGAAATACTTATAGAACGAAACGAATCGTGTTTTAAAAAAAATCTCTTTTTGATATAATAACTTGAATATCTGTCCTCTCAACAACAAAAATTCCTAGAATCAATTTATGCTAATATCACAAAACATCTAACCCAACTACAAGCTATCTTTACTTGCAGTTCGCTCTTTTCAGAAATGTGATCGTATACAATACAGTTAAACAAAACAACAAACACTACCAATTTTAGCTCCAATCGGTGTAGCAAATGGATTGCCATGAAAAAAAGAAGTGACACGCTCAGTTACTGACGCTGCTGCTTCCTTGGCACTTTCTACTGCGTTATTGACCTGATCCTGCATACTTAACTACAAATAAACTTACATGTATCATGTTGATCTCTTAATTCAAAACAGTCAATCACTACATCTCCAAGAGCACAATGAAGACTACCAACCACCTATACAATAGACAACCACTCAAGTCGATTGCTCCACCCGCATGCAGTTGTTTTCACATCGACATGTTGTTCATTTAGGACCGTGTTAAATCTTCTGGTGTAGTCGATAAAGTAAACGAAGTGACGTAGTGAAATTTCAACAAATGATTCTACTATGGGTGTTTGTCTCTAAAGTGTCCCTCACTCTCTGCTCGTTCTAATAATACACTAGTCTGATTAAACTCTTGCAGTCATGTTTTTATGCAAGATACATCAGTAATATGTATGCACTTCAATTCTCACAGGCATAACAATACATAACATTGGGACTCTGGAATATTCTAGAAATAACTCTTTAAAAGGGGCGTGGTTTGTGATGATATCATCAGAAAAAGAAGTTATGGCTTGTATTATAAATTCTTTGTACTGCAGTTATAAATAGTTACCGAATATCTTAAGAAAAGTATTTACAGAAGAAATACGAAAGACAGTACAGTAAGCAGAAGCATACATCTTATAAAATAGTCACACGGAAAGAGAATTCACAAACTAATACACCTGAAAAGCTACAAAATCAAGATATATCAGTATGTTCAGGTGTGAAGTCTTATAAACACAAGTAGATGCCAGCTGCAATTGTAAGACTAGCGTTTCTGCGAAAACGCTACAAACAAAGCTATTTACACATAAAATATTAGACAAGTTTACGTCGCGAATAGTCAATATAGAGAGAAGTATTTGCGGATGAACAATTTACACCAGACTCTTCCGGTAGCAGAAAAGAGAAAATGAATTACACACTCTCGACAATCAGAAATTTTCACAACGAACATTATCAAATCATAAGAAAAACCTACACAACCTATTTTGACTATGATAATATACTCTTCATTCGCGGTTTATTACATTTCTGTGATGGATGGAACTTCGGAAATTGATGTAGTTGATGACGAACCTTCTGCCGAACTTCTTTCCGACAGTGCGCATCTAACACGTTGGTGTTCAAGTGAATAACGTCTCAAGTCAACTTCCAGTTCGGGATCATCTAGATCACAAACTGCCTGTAAGAATGAGAGAAGATATGTAGACAGTACCAAAATTTATTTCAGGGAAAGACTTTTCTGTGGCAGAACTAAATAAGGAAGTCTGAAATGAAGCAGAAGAAATATAAGAGACAAAGTACAGTCATGTAGTCAACTAAGAAGCGTCGTCTATAGAATGGATAAAATTCTCAATTTCACCTCAGGTACAATTTTATCGAGAAGTAAACGACAACGGAAATCACCAATATATGACGACATAAGATGTATAATACGTAATAACTGATATTTAACGTCTGGATGGTGCTGAAAAATTACTGTTATCTGATACAATTTTTAATGATTTCAGTTCTACGACACATCCTTAAACAGAAAAACACGAGACTGAAGCGAAATAGAAAATTATTCCCAAGTACATAAAAAACCCAAAAGAACTAGAACATGAAACTAATCTGATACTAAATTACTGAATAATTAATTAGCTTACAGTAATTGCTTTCAGCAAATACTCCTGAATGATAAAGTATGAGACTTGCTCAACTGATAACAAATTGTCATGAGGTGGTGACTGCAGCAAGCGAAAAACAAATACGTGTAACCAAGGATTACTAAAGGCAACCTAAAAATATCCCAAAATTTGTGCCGCATTTCGACGAGATGATACGTTTGCTTCGTTAAAAATTATATTCACCTTCTCTTTTAGACGAGGGATTATTTTTAGATATCTCATCATGCCCTGTAAGTCGATAACACGACGTTTGAATGGGATAATGTCTAAAATATAATGTAGCCAGAGCAAAGCACAAATCATATTCGTTTTCAAAAAACACATCATCTCTTCCGAAGGCCTGGATAAGAAATCAGTCATCGGATTTTCGTCAGCAATATCTTCTAAAAATTATTTCTAACAAAGAAAAAAACAACAAAAATACCAAAGTCGAAAAAAGAAATAACAAGCTTCTAAAGCACTAAAAAATGGTCAAATCTAACTTCAAAAGCTTAGCTCAAATGCGCACAATTTGTAAACATTCCAGAAAGCATCTAAATTATCTCTGACGCTGCCTTTACTTCTCAATTTACTTCTTGCACACATCACAAATCTCAATGAATAAAATGTCAACATCACTTTAGGTTATTCCGAATCACACAAAGAACCGTTTACCAGGTGCACGACATAGTTCATGTCGGATAACGTCTTCCACAATTAACATATTCAGTGAAGGCAAGAACCTTGTGAATATAAGTGTATCAATATTCGGTATACAAGTGATATTTTTAGTAGTCATAACTTTATGCGCCTTTGTTCCCAAGCACAGTAATCTAAATTTATTTCATTTTCTATAAAACTCAACAACATTTCAAGATTTTAGTAAATGTAATCAAAGCAATTCCTTGAATTTGAACCTCAAAATAAGCTGAAGAGAAACTAAATCTCTTGGCAATTGACCAGTCCCATTAACAGCCGAATCACGCAATACCTTTACTGCCATTGAACTCAAAAAATGAATGACATGTGCATCACCAGCAATCATAGCAAAATCTCCAACAGCCTGAGAATAGACCTATTACCATCTCAAAGTATGTGTCTAAGGAGATATATGGCAACGAATGAAAAAATAACTAACAAACTGTTCAAAAAAATGACTGTCAAATGTTACATAACATTTAAAAATCATTACCATTCGTGAACAAAATATCTACAAATCACAATTTCACGAGTCTTAAGCATCTTATGGCTTATTATCAAAAGTCACAAACACTAAAGTTCATGAAGTGTCAAATACATGAGACAAAATACATAATAAACTTATAAGCATTTTAATTAACCTCTGATGGAAGTTTTTTCATGTCCAATAAAGTTTTAAGTTTAGCTGTCAATTGCACATCTAGGTGCTTGTCCCTAACACATGCATCTAAACACCATGCGAAATCATGACACGGATCTGAAAATGGATACTAACATGAATCTCTAGAGTAATGCTTAATATTAAGAACACAATGCACAACCTGATCGAATAACAGATTCAATATTTAAATCATGAGCTGACATCACAATTTCCATTCGTAATGTACAATACGTAGTATCACCAGTCTTAACGAAACATTTACGGACCACATCGTTCAGTCGTCGATACAATGATTCATGCTTCCCTACCATTGACATCAGCTCTGTAAAATACAGTACATGGAATTTACAATGATTGTCACTTGATAAATTAATGCGTCTGAAATAGCAATTTTCATTAGAAAATACCAAATGCGAACCAACAACTTGAGGAAATCGACGTCTAGATCTGGTCGTTTCAGAAGTGAAATAGTTTATGTGCACGTAATCTATTAACTGCATAATTTTCACTTTTTCGTCAATATAAGAATCTATAACTGGAGTTATTGATGTTAAAAATAACGAATCATTTTTCAACCAAATCTGCTGTCGAACCGTTACTGCACAACTATTGTAAAGTTGTCGATCTGCCAGAATTACTTTCAGATATCTGAAAAACGAATGTAATTTCAAGCAGACTTCATAACAACTTTATTAAAAAATTAAAGATAGTGAGACCATTTTCCTTTAAATTCATAGAAAATCAAAAACTTTTATCGGAAATTCCGTGTGAAAAGGTGAAATATTAAACCTGATGATTGCTCCAAAAATCATGACAGATTACTTTGTTTTTTATGGTAGCAAGAAGAATTTGTTACACAAATGCAGACAGTTCTTCTAAACATATTTGAGAGACATATTTCAAATTTTTTCAAAAGAAAAGATAATGAGAACAGCTTGTACAAAAAACCCTTCCTCATTTAATAAACTATGATACTGCGGACAAAATTTAAACTTGTGCTAATTCTATAACAGTTTAGGACGATAAAAAATTCTATTACATTCAATCAACTTAAATGATAACACTTCTTGTCTGGTATACTCTTAAAGATAAAAAAAAGCATTTATGATTTACTTACCTATCTGGAGCTTTGGGCAGTTGTTTCAATGTCTCTAAAACAACTGGTCGTATTAGAGGAACTCGATATAGCTTAAAACATCTTTCCAACTGTTTTTCTAGAATGCGTGCCGAATCCGGACTATCATCTTCGCCTAATTCTCTAATTTTTTCAATCAACAACTCTGATATATCACCTACTGCCTGCAAATTACGGTAAAGTTGGCTCAAAACACAATTATAATTTGTAAGAGCGTATCACGAAAACACTTAATAATATAAAAAACACACCACTTCATGGAATTCTGATCGACGAATACCATGTAAGTCAAGAAGTCGTAATGCTGGATACAAAGTGGGTAACTATAAAAAAAATATCAGTCAGATGTGGTAGAATCTATTTAACTGCTACTGAAAAATAAAATAATTGGGAAACTGATATAGTTATAGAGTAGTTAATGATATTTATGAGGTGAGGCTAAAGTGCAGTATCAATATATTCACGTTCCCAAATACTTCAAGACAGGCCCTTAATATGACACAGCAATCATACCGTACCTTACTTTTCAGATACTTTTGTATGAATGTAAATCAGTTTCTTCCTAATATGTCGCAGGTAACTGATTAGGACAACGATCTAATACCTCAGCTACAGTGAGAAAAACTGATAAAGTGTGGAGGAAAAAAATTGCAAGAAATTATAACTACCAATCCTTTTTTTCCACTAATTTAAAACTATATGCAAATTTCTTATTCAAAATCTTTGATATCATATAAATAAATCGTAAGAAAAATGCACTCTTATACTGTTGCGTTCCTGAAAGTCTTTAATGGTTGCAATTGGATCAGCACATGTCATGAGAAGGTGACGCAACTTCTTGCATCCATCTATATTTTGATTCTCTAAATCGGTTACCCATTGTTTGTCTGAATTAGCTGATGAAGATGATGCCATTATTCCTGAGCAAGTCTAAAAAATTATGCTCTTTAGCAAAAAAATAAAAAATAAAAAAAACTAAATGAAAAACAAAAGATAACTGAAGATTAAGAATTCTTTGAAGGATAAACTATGTAAAGAATTTTGTTTCGTGATTTAGATTCAAGAAATTTACACAAATGCAAAAGTATTACTTGGATTTCTCAATAAAACAACTTGCGTGATTCTTTACTTCTCTGCACTTTAAAAAACTATAAATCTATAAGAACATTTTGCTCACAGGAAAATACCTGGTAAGAACTGTTTGTTAATCATGCTATCCTTTGCAAACCTGCGTTGATGCACATTCAAAACTTAATTAACCCTTTTCAATTAAGCATTTTACTAGCAAATTTAAATGAACAATGAGTAAGTATCATCCGTGTAATACCGAATAAACCTCTTTTTTTATTAAAATTACCGAAAAATCATTGATGAACTTTTGGATTCGTCACGTTGTAGTCACGTATTTTTCTAACCTATGACTTTATAATGAGACTAATTATTCACTTTTTTGGTTTTTTTTCCCCGCTAAATGAGTTTGTAATATGACAACTCTTGGTCGAGTTATTTTATTATGTAGATCAAAATTCGTTAGATTTTTCATGTGTCTTTCCACATTTATTTTTAATTTTCAGATTTATATTTAAAATATTGCAATGTGGAATAATTAACTTTTCATGCTATAAATTCTCTTTTTCCGCAATGACAAAAAATGCAGGACAACGTTTTTCACGATTATGTCTCAGTGGTGAGATTGTTCATATTCCTACGGTTATGCTAGAAGAGGTAGATTTAATTGTCATTATTTCCAATACAATTTTTTGATTCAGAATCATAAATTTATAGCATTTGCAAGAAGCTATTAATGAATTTCTGAGAAAGCAATTTCTCATTTCTCTCTATGATTTTTACCGCGATGTTTTTATCAATGCTTATTTATGTCAACAGGAGGATATATTTCGAGCTGTTGTGACAAAAGATGCATTCCGAAGTCTTAGCGTTGATACGCAGGATTATCTTAAAGTAACGAATTACTTATATTTTATAAAATACATAATAATGATTTATTTCATGTACAAATATATGTTGCAATTAATTGGGCAGTGACTAATGTTTCCAGCGCTTCCTACCCAAATATGATGGATCAGTGAATGATGAAGAAAAAGTTCTAGACACTGTATTTTCGGCTAGCCCAAATGTGTATTTTGGCAACCCAGTAGAAAAATTTCTTAGTAAACTACGACGTAGGTCTCTGTTTGATAGTTTTTTCTTTTTCTTTTTTTTTCTTGCATTTGAAAAATTGAAACTCTGTTATACCAATTTTTCATATCTAATGAAGTATGTCAATGCTTGTTAAAATATGAGCTTTTCGTTGTAAAATATGAATTTTCAAAAAAGATTTATAAAAATTTTATTTGGTTAAATCACAGAGTATTATAAATTTTTGTTATTTATTTTAGAAGGTTTGTTAAATCCAGTGAAGAGTTCCGATCAAGCCCATCTACGTGACAATCGGAGAGTTCTGTATGATCATTATATACGCCATTATTATATGACTGTTTTTAAATCTGCTCTAATTTCTCGAAATGTAATTTTTTTTTAAAATCAGGATTCTTAATTAATAAAAAACAGTAATTAAGTGCATATGCACGCATAATAAGTATGTAAATTACATATTAACGTATATGTATATTAACGGCATTTTTTTTTTCTTTTGAAATTTATCAATTGAGCAAACTGATTTAGAAAGAATTAACAAAGCTTGCTTCTTCAAGTCCATCTGGTAAACTTACAATAAATAAGCTGCTGAGTACTCACTCCTTGCGTAAGTCGAAAATAACAAAACGAATCAAGTGGCGTACCCAAGCTCGTTTGAAACTGCAAGCTTCAAAATATATTTTAAAAATTTTCTCATTTTTTCTTATGTGCTACTTTTAACAGCATATTTTAAGTTTACTTCGTTTTCAGTGTAATATGCGTTTTTTATGATATCTATCCATTCTTTTAAATCAAATAGAAAAATATGTTTGAGACAGAATTATAAGGGCTCACATTGTATCTTCTGCTAATTTTATGCAGATTTTAGAATACTGGACCGAGTACGGGAAGAAGCAGGAGATAATGCTGACATTTCTTCAGATGAAGAAGGTTAGTGTTATTTTTTTGCATAGAACTATAGAAGTTTTGGTTATAAAACTTCGTATATGAATATACGAAGCAATTTATTATAGTTTTAAAAAATTTCGAGTTTAGCTACTGTTTAATTTTCATATTTTGTATCAGAATTTGGTGATTCAAACAAAATCCCAATGACTCGCGCTGGCCAGAGCACTTTATTTTCTCCTAATTTCACTGGTATGTTTTTATATATTATAGTTGTTGGAAAAATAAACCATTCAAATCTGTTCTTTGTCTTTTAAGTAATACGCAGTTCTTGTTTTTATTTATTCCTTTTACAAAAAATCAGTGTCTTTGGATTTTTTTCATCACAGATTATGATTTGCACCAACCAGTTTATATGGATGACGTAAAACGAATGTTAAAGGACTACAAAAATCTGAAGGAGGAGAAACCTGTATGTTTTGATAATTCGAAAGTTGTAAAAGTTCAAATGCTTTTTACTGAGTTCAAGCTTGAAATTAAGACTGTGTTTAGGATTCGCCGTCTTTGGACATTTCGGGTATATGTATTGAAGATGTTTATGAAAGAGCGGGTGTAGCTTGTATTGCTGAAAGGAATTTATCAGCTGAAGTTTCGGAAGCCATGAAATTGCCTTTTAAGTCCCTAAAATGACTTAATTCGTGGTTATTTTTCAAAATCTTTTGAGATATAAAATCGTAATCAAATAAGATAAATTTGTCAATTGTTCACAGTGGATGGTGAAATTGCTTTTTTTTTTTGAATGTTACAGGATTTGTTGTCAAAATTATGATGTTTGATGTTGACTATTGTGCTTTGCATCTCATCAGTTTATTGTCAGTGATGTTTTGGAAACCGATAAATGAAATATCAAATCAGTTTTTTGCGGTCAATTAAGTGTGGCTATCTCATTTTTCATATATTTAATTGTTTTATTTGATAGTATCAAGAAAAGTTTGATATTATTTCCTACTTCAATTTTTTGATATTAGTTGTCTTATTCTTTTAGTTTTAGGATTTCTTATACCACAATTTTATTGCTGGAGTATTACCAATCTAAAAAACAGCTGTCCAAGTGATCTGACGTGGTAAAATTTCCAATTCGTTTTCGCGTTGAGCAAGTAACGATAGTTTTTGATAAATATCATTATGATTTATTTAGCTTTTACATTTCTAGTCTTTTTGGAATTTAGATTCTAGAAAAAAGTATTCGTCAATTTATTTGACTGTAACCAATACAACGACAAATATCGGCAAAATTGTTGACGTAGCACCAGTATTGATCATTTCCTGCTCTCAAAGAACTGTATTTTTTACTACTTCAACACTAGAAAAAATCTGTTTTTATACTTTGTGGTGGTCTGACGTGTTTTTATAATATATAAGTGATTAATATAAAAAAGTATGAGAGAAACAAGAATTATTACTTAAATTAAAATGAACAGTGTTACTTTTAATGTAGTAATTGACTTTGTTTTTTTCATTTTCATAATATTATTGAGTTTATTATTGTGTATTCACTTTTTTAGTTGTTTACATTTTATTTTATCAAAATTCTAGCAATAATTACGAGGAATGTCTTTAGTTTTGCTTCAGTTCAGTAGATGTAGCTATTGTTTTTGTAACTTCCGTGAGTATGCTGTTGTTATTTGTATGGAAATAAAAAGAGAGATTATTGTGCGCAAAATTAGTGTTTACCGTTGATGACTTTTCCATATTTAAATTTGAATTGGTAAGAAGGAGGATATAAAGTTTTCAGTGTTATAGGCTGCACGATGTTATCTTAGATGTTCCGTCGAAGATCTGTGCGTTATTTAAATGCAGTACTGGTCATTTTGCTAGTAAGTTTTGTGTATTTAATTATTTTGCACGATACTTATTTTCAATCAGTGAGTGGTCTTTCTACTATTTTTAAACTACGAGATCACAAAGTGGGAAAAATAGAAAGGTAGTATTTTGGCTGTTTACAAGCAAGAGGGATATAATTTGTGGCTGCTTATTAGGATAAGATCAAGTTTTCTTTCATTTACTGGGGTTTTTTTTTTTTAGTTGCTTATTACTGTTATATTTTCCAATTAGTAGGTAATGATTGACATCTGCAGCTCTGAAATTCTGCACGTGAAGTTTGTGTCTTTTTGTTTAAAGTGTCCAGTAAAAATTTTCAGATCTTACTGAGGTTATTTAAGGCAGTTTTTTTTCTTTTCAGATAGGCCTCCTAATGGTCTATTTTCAAAGTTCATATCTAATTGTTGGTAAAAATTTGGAAGATCCATTGTATGATGCATCAGAAGAAGGGTTTGAATCGGTTTTAGATCACAATGATGTATGGTTTTTTTTAAATTTTGTTTTTCATGGAGTTACATTAAATCTCTCTGAGACATAAAAATTTTATCTAGGAATTAAATTTTCTGTTCTTCCAAGTTTCAAGTAGATGAATTAAGTCATCTCATATCTGTAAAAAAATTCTTTCATTGTATTTGAATTGTTACATGCTATCACCAAAAGCAGTGTTGAAAAATTTTTTTAACGGAACTCATTAAGTTGCGTTGTAAAATATATTGCTCGAATTGCAGCACGACCTCGAATCAGGATGGGTTTTCCGAACTGCTCCATCACCATTAAGCAAAGAAGAGATTGTCCGTTCAATCGAGTTTCTCAACGCTAATTACGAGATTTTGAATCTGGATAAATATGGGCCTGTGGAAGACGTCAGAATAGTGGTAGTCGTGCAGGTAGTTTTAAAAAATTTAGATTCGTGTAGTGATATTTCATTATTAGTGAAGTCTTCAAAAATTTAAACGTGAAAGAATTTTGTCAATGCAGCAGATAGCTTGATCATTACACTGTAACAACTAAATCTGATTATATTTTTTATCGAGCTATAAAAGCGATTAGAATGTTTGCATTTCATAGCAAGATTACGTGTTTTAGGTACACAATCGTATAGAATATTTAAAAATTTTAATTTCCACGCTCAAAGAAGCACGTTATATTCAAACTGTACTTTTGATATTTAGTCATGATTATTCTTCTCCTGCTATTAATAAGCTAATCAAGAGCATAGATTTTTGTATGGTATGTTTTTATGCAAATCAACAATTTTAATGTAAAAACAAAACCTTATTTTAACAGACATTTCTCCCACAATATTCCATATTCTTTAAAAATTTCTCATTTTACAGTATTTAATATGGAGACATTTCAGGTAATGCAGATATTTTACCCTTATAGTATTCAGTTATTTCCAAATGTTTTTCCAGGACAGGATCCTTCCGATTGTCCAGAGAAAGCTACTAAAGAAGAGTAAATTATATCATGTTGATCATTATTATATATGGTTATCTTTAAACGCCACATTTGAATAGTTGTGTTTTCTAGGGCGGCATTTTTAAAATGCAATAATTGGGAAAATTCGGATAAATATGGACATTTCCGTGTTGCAAAATTTACACAAATCAAGCATCACTGGTGGTGGAAGGTACCGTAATCTTCTCTATGCTGTTTTTTGAAATTTCGGCACCGGTCTTAATGTTTTTTAACTCGTCACATATTTCACTTTTCAAATTTCAAAACAAAAAGGAATGTGCTTCATAAATTAAAAACGTATGCTGTTTTTAATTTAAATCTTCCGTAAAGTATTAAAAGAATTCTTCTTGATATTGCACGTTTATTTCATAGCATATTTTAGATAAACTACGTATTCGATGGCATAATGAAACAGTATTCATTAACGAATGCTTGGGTAATAATGTTAGAAGAAGATCATTATGTTGCACCAGATTTTTTGCATGTAATGCAGTTAATCGTAGACAATAAACCTACGTCAGTTTTTCTTTATATTTTCACTTGCATGCCATAGTACTTTATTAGTGGTTTATCCCAAAAAATTGAAATCGTAATATTCATAGCTTTCTTCATTTTTTGAAATTCAAATCTTCCATTTTTATCAGCTTATCTATCGCTGTTCTTTTAGCCACTGCATTTTTCAGGTTTTGTGTAGACTGTCAAGTGATTAGTCTTGGATTGTATCTTAAGCAGTACGATCATTTTAAGACCGATTTAGATCGATTAGCAATTCATCCATGGTTTTCTTCTAAACATAATATGGGAATGGGTATTAATGTAAATACTTGGGAACTGATAAAGAATTGCACAGAAGTATGGTTTCGTTATGCTCAGAATTATTAACGAAATTTTTCATAAAGCCAGAGTCATGTTTTATATATATAATTGAAATTGTTAATATTCATTGCTTTTTTCATTTTTTGAAATTCAAATCTATTTTTATTATGGCAAACATATATATATATATATATTTTAGTTATTCTGTGAGTATGATGATTACAATTGGGATTGGTCACTCTTACGTGTTAGTATCAAGTGTTTGCCATCGAGATTGCGGGTTATTGCTGTAAAAGCTCCACGTGTTATACATATTGGTGATTGTGGCGTACATACCCATCGATGTGCTGTGCATAATGCAGCAGCAATGGTTTATTTTTTAATAACTAGAGGCTGTTCAAATACTGTCAAACGAGACAGCTTTGGCTCTCTTATATCAGTTTTGCATATGTAAAAGCTGACTGCGAACTATTTCAAATTTAAACTATATTTCAGGCTACTAAACTTTTTCACAGTGTTGTTCACTCATTATTTCCAAAGACGATGGTTGTGTCGGAAAATCTGAAGCGAACTTTAAAGCCTTCCAAAGAAAATGGTGGATGGGGTGATATTCGTGATCACAAACTGTGTCTCAAAAATTCATATGTACCTGATCTTGCAGCTTTTGATTTTGATTTGGGTGGCGTTCACAGCAAGATTGGTCATGAAAATATCAGCCAACCTCTCATCGTTCCTGTATGAAATTTTTCATCTATTTATCTTAGGTTTTTATAATCCAGACTTTTTCTAAAAACATTATTTCTATTTCTTCCTATTCTGCATTTCACCAATGATAGCATCGTTCAGGAACATTTATGTTTGAAATCTTTCTGTTAATTATAATTCCTTATTCTTTCAGTTACATTCAGGTACTATGTTTAAATGGTTACTCTTCCAGTATTATGTTTCATACTCCTCTTTCAGTATTATGTTTAATGATAATGATATGATTATAGTTTAGTCAGTCACGATCAGCTAGTTTTGATTTCTATTATCGACGTCTGCATACAGTATTTGTTTGTATTCATAAATGAAATCGCTCTGAGCGATTTGGTTGTATACTCCATAACTTTTACTCATTTGATACTGAGAAAATTTGAAGCTTCGTGAAAATTTTTAGGGCTTTTTACAAAAGAAAAAAAACTCGTTAAAATAGTAGTGAGTCTATTTTTCGGTGCCTTTCCATCACTCATTTTCAGCACTCATTTTAATGCATAACATATCAATTTCATTTGTACTGTTAATAATTTTTCTCGCTAAGAACTCTAGATCATCCTTGATGCATAATTTTAAAGATATCTGTAACTTATCTTTCAGTCTTACTGTTTATATTACTTTGGTTTCAGAAACGGAATATGACGTGAATGCTTGTACACTTCTTTGTACTGTAAATTTAGTGTTTGTGATGTGCACTCATATCTCAAAAACTCTTCGAATCGATTTTTTAAATCTTTTACAAATTTAGATTTTTTTTAAATCAAATTTTTAAGTCTTTTTTAATCTATCTTTCAAACCGCAACGCATTTACTTCTTGTCCCGATTAATTGCTTAAACTAGAATTTTATCATATGTTTTAGCTGATTAGTCGCACTTAAATAATGCTTCTGTGATCATTATCAATCATACGGCGTCATACTTTTTTGCCATCTGACTATATTTTGCTACTAATAAAACAGTTAGATCAGTAGTCTCGTACCTACAATTCAACAATCCTCTATTCTTCTTCAATTTACATTAATGCTTGCTTAGTTTGATGTTTTAAGATACCTGATTAATACAACCTCATTGGCGAGTTATCTTTAAAACATCGTTTATGTTCATTGCTGGTGTCACATACATCGTACAGCCAAACTTTGGAAATCATTAATATTCACCGACGCTGCTGCATCACAAATAGTAACTTCTGTCAATAATTACCAAGTTAAATAATACCGGAATTGAAATATACATGTATTTTTATGTTTATTACACGATTTAAAGTGGCGGAATGCGATAACAGATAACGTATTCTAAATTAGATATGTCGTGAGTATATTCGTTCCAATAAAAAGTAGTTGTCGTGGTAGCTTAATACTTGATGAATTAATATTTAAATATAAAAAGCACACATGGTAAAGAAAGTGCAACTAATAAGGACAGTAGAGATGTTATTGCGTCCTTATTCATTAGGAGACCTATTTTTATGTCAAACTAGGTTTTAACATAGTCTGACACAAAAGCAGATATCTTACAAAAACATGTAGAGCAACTTCTCTTGCGAAACTCCTAAAATCGTGAAATTGTGAAATTACAAAAAATTTATTGAAACACGACTTCCACTGAGATCCAATGTAAATTAAGACCAGTTGACGTATTTAATCCAACAAGATGTAAAAGTCCTTTCCAACCGCAACTACGTGCTTCCAAACTTAGCCAGGAAAAATCCTTCGAATGGCAGTTTTCTGGCACGTAAGTCAACATAAACATCCATCCAAGAATCAAAGTGTGTTATGCTTCCAATACATAGCAAAAAATAAGATAATAAGAAGTAGTAAAATGCACTGCCAAGTGAGCACTGAAAGAGAATTATTTCTAACAGGTTATTCACATAGTTCCTTAGCAAAATATTCGAAAGGAGAAAAAGTAAATGAAATAACTTACTTCCCTCAATGTTTTGATAAAAGCTTCGGAGCTATTGATTATAACCAAAAAAACGATGATTAAATTTGTGAGAACTGAAAGTTTAAAATTCAGAAGAAATGGAAAAAACAAACGACACAAAAGAAAGCTAATTTTTTGCATAATCTGAATAAAAAGCAATTTTAAGAAACCATAAACCAAATACTTGCCCAATAATACACTAAATCCGCATAAAAATTTTTCTACTTTTAGATTGCGCTTTATACAAGTGAAAAACAATGAGACAGCAACTAGTAAATATAATACAATACTGAAACTCATGAGTACACGAGCAATCCTCAAACCTGAAACATAATATAGATGAAACAAACAACACAAATCAGTATTTTACTCAACGAATAAAAATGGAAAAGTATCCGCAACTTAATAACTATCAAGTTAAAGATTACTCATAGAAGGAGGAACAACGTCTGACACGGTAAGATTTTGGCCACTGATGATGAAAGTACTTTCATTATCCCACCATCCTGAACACTTTATTCGATTGGAAAATTTATTATTTTTTACACAGTCGTCTCCTAATCCACGCTGAAAAAGTTATATTTTGCAAGAATAGCCAAACTATTTTATGAGTTAAAGTAATTTTCAACTATTTTTATTTATCATTCGAACAATGATTGAATAATTAAATCTAGATCAAATATTTTCTAGTTTCCAACTTGTGCAACACTTTTTATGCGCTAATTTTATTTGCACAGTTAAACTTTAACTGATATTTTGTTAAAATGTTAAATATTAATGAGCTAAAAAGCACTGTAAGCTATAATTTTCCAGCAACTGTTACAACTTTTAAGTATTTCAATTCATCAATTTTAAACATTTCTATTTTTTAAATTTTGAATTTTGTTATTTTTAAATATAGTTATAGTTTTTTTAGAAGTACAGAATATTGTTTCATAAATGTAAACAACTGAAAAAGCAAATATTGCAACCACAACAACTAAAGAAAGTACGCAAATACCTGATATACATATGAACCATTATTATGCACCAACCAAGCATTATTGAAAAATTGAAACGTTTGTAATACGGCAGCAGAAACAATCATCATAAAAGCAATTATTAGCTCCCAGAAGAAACGAATATGCCGAGTACTTGGTCGTGTCATCATAGCTCTCGACGATTTATAATCTAAATATTACTGAAATTTTGTTTGCTTTTTTTTGTTTTTCACCCAAATCAAAAGTAATAAAAGTTATTATGTAGTAGCAATTAACTTCTTCCTAAAATTTTGCATTAAAAAATTTTGATAAATTTTATAAAAGCAAAAATAAGCATACCTATAAGCATTTACATTGTGTATACTAATTTGCTGAGAACTGAAAACAGTGCAATAAATACACGCAGGTACGTAATAATGTCACTTATTCCATCATTAGCACAGCAATAATTTGATTTAAGCTTTAACAAATCCCGTTAAAGTCTGCAACTATTTCTCAGTGAAAAGTTAGTCTAAACTTAAACTTGAACACTTTGATTAGTGATTATAATAAATCTGTTAAATGATTATTGCAATTGCTAAAATAGCAGTTGCAAGAATAAAAAAAAAGTAAGAAATAAGTGTAATATTAATTTTTTTGTGGTATTTTATTTATTTTTTAGTCATATTTTTTTAAAGAGTAACAGTAATTTTGAAAATGTGTAGCTATTTTGACTTTATGAGAATCAACTAAAAAAATATCATGTAATTACAAATGTGTTACTGCTTACAGCACAAATACATGTTGAATAATAATAAGTGAATACTCTTCTTATTATTACTTACCGTTTTACAATAAACATATCTATACAACTTCTGATATTTTGTTCTAAAAAAGAAAATAGATCAATAACTTACTAGCTAAAATAGTTCTCAATGCTTTGTCAATATTATACTTGTTAAAATTATATTTTTTACCTCGCTGATCAAACAATCTCTGGAAGATTTTCCATTCATATATAAGTTTTATTTTTTCATTTATAATTATTAAAATTTCTTGAAATATTATTTTACAATTCAAAGAAAAAAAATACTATTATTGTATGCAATATACAAAGAATCTTTCTACTATATGAATTATTGATTGCAAATTCAATTCATTTGGTTGATGTGCTGCAAGATGAGAGTATTGTCATGATGCGCGACAATAAATGGCATATGACTGAATGTTTGATTTACTTCTTAAACAACAATTCATTAGAAAAAATAAAGACTTCTCAATATTTTGTGTAATTATTAATATACAATAAATACTTTATATGTATATATACATATATATAGTTGTAATTAGTATGCACGTGTGTGTACGTGTCTGTATGTGTATACATTTTTGGTGCCCATTCTTTTCATTAAATGACTGAAATGATTTTTTTAGCGTTTATATCATAGTACCTATGATTATTTCCTCCACATATGGATGTGTGTAGGTTTTTGAATTTTAACTCAAGTAGCAGTATATATTTGTAATGCATTAAATATAATTATTTTCAGGTATTTATTTGATTTTATTTATTTCATCTTATTTTTGCTATTATTACAGTTAGTTATTCGTGTTAAAATTCATATACTTAGTTTAATTTCAGTAATGCTTTTAAAATTTGTTTATTTTTTCTGTTTGTTTTTAATAAAAAAAAAATTTTACTTAACTTTCAAAAAAAAAAAAAAA